ATCCCGGTATCCCGGTTTCCCGGTATCCCGGTATCCCGGTATCCCGGTTTCCCGGTTTCCCGGTATCCCGGTATCCCGGTATCCCGGTTTCCCGGTTTCCCGGTTTCCCGGTTTCCCGGTTTCCCGGTTTCCCGGTTTCCCGGTTTCCCGGTTTCCCGGTTTCCAGGTTTCCCGGTATCCCGGTATCCCGGTTTCTCGGTTTCCCGGTATCCCGGTTTCCCGGTTTCCCGGTTTCCCGGTTTCCCGGTATCCCCGTATCCCCGTATCCCGGTTTCCCGGTTTCCCGGTTTCCCGGTTTCCCGGTTTCCCGGTATCCCGGTATCCCGGTATCCCGGTATCCCCGTTTCCCGGTTTCCCGATATCCCGGTTTCCCGGTTTCCCGGTTTCCCGGTTTCCCGGTTTCCCGGTTTCCCGGTTTCCCGGTTTCCCGGTATCCCGGTATCCCGGTATCCCGGCATCCCGGCATCCCGGTTTCCCCGTTACCCGGTTTCCCGGTTTCCCGGCATCCCGGTATCCCAGTATCCCGGTATCCCGGTTGTATCCCGGTTTCCCGGTTTCCCGGTTTCCCGGTATCCCGGTTTCCAGGTATCCCGGTATCCCGGTATCCCGGTATCCCGGTATCCCGGTTTCCCGATTTCCCGGTTTCCTGGTATCCCGGTTTCCCGGTTTCCCGGTTTCCCGGTTTCCCGGTATCCCGGTTTCCCGGTTTCCCGGTATCGTATCCCGGTATCCCGGTTTCCCGGTTTCCCGGTTTCCCGGTATCCCGGTATCCCGGTATCCCGGTATCCCGGTTTCCCGGTTTCCCGGTTTCCCGGTATCCCGGTTTCCCGGTTTCCCGGTATCGTATCCCGGTATCCCGGTATCCCGGTTTCCCGGTATCCCGGTTTCCCGGTTTCCTGGTATCCCGGTATCCCGGTTTCCCGGTTTCCCGGTTTCCCGGTATCCCGGTTTCCCGGTTTCCCGGTATCCCGGTTTCCCGGTTTCCCGGTATCCCGGTTTCCCGGTATCCCGGTTTCCCGGTTTCCCGGTTTCCCGGTTTCCCGGTTTCCCGGTATCCCGGTATCCCGGTATCCCGGTTGTATCCCGGTTTCCCGGTTTCCCGGTTTCCCGGTTTCCCGGTTTCCCGGTATCCCGGTTTCCAGGTATCCCGGTATCCCGGTTTCCCGGTTTCCCGGTTTCCCGGTTTCCCGGTATCCCGGTATCCCGGTATCCCGGTATCCCGGTATCCCGGTTTCCCGGTTTCCCGATATCCCGGTTTCCCGGTTTCCCGGTTTCCCGGAATCCCGGTTTCCCGGTTTCCCGGTTTCCCGGTTTCCCGGTTTCCCGGTATCCCGGTATCCCGGCATCCCGGCATCCCGGTTTCCCCGTTACCCGGTTTCCCGGTTTCCCGGCATCCCGGTATCCCAGTATCCCGGTATCCCGGTTGTATCCCGGTTTCCCGGTTTCCCGGTATCCCGGTTTCCAGGTATCCCGGTATCCCGGTATCCCGGTATCCCGGTATCCCGGTATCCCGGTTTCCCGGTTTCCCGGTATCCCGGTTTCCCGGTATCCCGGTTTCCCGGTTTCCCGGTTTCCCGGTTTCCCGTTATCCCGGTTTCCCGGTTTCCCGGTATCGTATCCCGGTATCCCGGTATCCCGGTTTCCTGGTTTCCCGGTTTCCCGGTATCCCGGTATCCCGGTATCCTGGTATCCCGGTTTCCCGGTTTCCCGGTATCCCGGTTTCCCGGTTTCCCGGTATCCCGGTTTCCCGGTATCCCGGTTTCCCGGTTTCCCGGTTTCCCGGTTTCCCGGTATCCCCGTATCCCCGTATCCCGGTATCCCGGTTTCCCGGTTTCCCGGTTTCCCGGTTTCCCGGTTTCCCGGTATCCCGGTATCCCGGTATCCCGGTATCCCCGTTTCCCGGTTTCCCGATATCCCGGTTTCCCGGTTTCCCGGTTTCCCGGTTTCCCGGTTTCCCGGTTTCCCGGTTTCCCGGTTTCCCGGTATCCCGGTATCCCGGTATCCCGGCATCCCGGCATCCCGGTTTCCCCGTTACCCGGTTTCCCGGTTTCCCGGCATCCCGGTATCCCAGTATCCCGGTATCCCGGTTGTATCCCGGTTTCCCGGTTTCCCGGTTTCCCGGTATCCCGGTTTCCAGGTATCCCGGTATCCCGGTATCCCGGTATCCCGGTATCCCGGTTTCCCGATTTCCCGGTTTCCTGGTATCCCGGTTTCCCGGTTTCCCGGTTTCCCGGTTTCCCGGTATCCCGGTTTCCCGGTTTCCCGGTATCGTATCCCGGTATCCCGGTTTCCCGGTTTCCCGGTTTCCCGGTATCCCGGTATCCCGGTATCCCGGTATCCCGGTTTCCCGGTTTCCCGGTTTCCCGGTATCCCGGTTTCCCGGTTTCCCGGTATCGTATCCCGGTATCCCGGTATCCCGGTTTCCCGGTATCCCGGTTTCCCGGTTTCCTGGTATCCCGGTATCCCGGTTTCCCGGTTTCCCGGTTTCCCGGTATCCCGGTTTCCCGGTTTCCCGGTATCCCGGTTTCCCGGTTTCCCGGTATCCCGGTTTCCCGGTATCCCGGTTTCCCGGTATCCCGGTTTCCCGGTTTCCCGGTTTCCCGGTTTCCCGGTATCCCGGTATCCCGGTATCCCGGTATCCCGGTTGTATCCCGGTTTCCCGGTTTCCCGGTTTCCCGGTTTCCCGGTTTCCCGGTATCCCGGTTTCCAGGTATCCCGGTATCCCGGTTTCCCGGTTTCCCGGTTTCCCGGTTTCCCGGTATCCCGGTATCCCGGTATCCCGGTATCCCGGTATCCCGGTTTCCCGGTTTCCCGATATCCCGGTTTCCCGGTTTCCCGGTTTCCCGGAATCCCGGTTTCCCGGTTTCCCGGTTTCCCGGTTTCCCGGTTTCCCGGTATCCCGGTATCCCGGCATCCCGGCATCCCGGTTTCCCCGTTACCCGGTTTCCCGGTTTCCCGGCATCCCGGTATCCCAGTATCCCGGTATCCCGGTTGTATCCCGGTTTCCCGGTTTCCCGGTATCCCGGTTTCCAGGTATCCCGGTATCCCGGTATCCCGGTATCCCGGTATCCCGGTTTCCCGGTTTCCCGGTATCCCGGTTTCCCGGTATCCCGGTTTCCCGGTTTCCCGGTTTCCCGGTTTCCCGGTATCCCGGTTTCCCGGTTTCCCGGTATCGTATCCCGGTATCCCGGTATCCCGGTTTCCTGGTTTCCCGGTTTCCCGGTATCCCGGTATCCCGGTATCCTGGTATCCCGGTTTCCCGGTTTCCCGGTATCCCGGTTTCCCGGTTTCCCGGTATCCCGGTTTCCCGGTTTCCCGGTTTCCCGGTTTCCCGGTTTCCCGGTTTCCCGGTTTCCCGGTTTCCCGGTTTCCCGGTTTCCCGGTTTCCCGGTTTCCCGGTATCCCGGTTTCCCGGTTTCCCGGTTTCCCGGTTTCCCGGTTTCCCGGTTTCCCGGTTTCCCGATATCCTGGTTTCCCGGTTTCCCGGTTTCCCGGTTTCCCGGTTTTCCGGTTTCCCGGTATCCCGGTATCCCGGCATCCCGGCATCCCGGTTTCCCCGTTACCCGGTTTCCCGGTTTCCCGGTTTCCCGGTTTCCCGGTTTCCCGGCATCTCGGTATCCCAGTATCCCGGTATCCCGGTATCCCGGTTGTATCCCGGTTTCCCGGTTTCCCGGTTTCCCGGTATCCCGGTTTCCAGGTATCCCGGTATCCCGGTATCCCGGTATCCCGGTATCCCGGTTTCCCGGTTTCCCGGTTTCCCGGTATCCCGGTTTCCCGGTTTCCCGGTTTCCCGGTTTCCCGGTATCCCGGTTTCCCGGTTTCCCGGTTTCCCGGTATGGTATCCCGGTATCCCGGTATCCCGGTTTCCCGGTTTCCCGGTTTCCCGGTATCCCGGTATCCCGGTATCCCGGTATCCCGGTTTCCCGGTTTCCCGGTATCCCGGTTTCCCGGTATCCCGGTTTCCCGGTTTCCCGGTTTCCACCCTCTACCCTGTCTCCGTCTCCAACTCACACTTCCTCTCCAATCGGGCCGATCTGGGCGGGGGAGCAATCTCCCTCTCCTCCCAGGCAGCACTCACCGCACTCAACTGCTCCCTCCTCCACGGCCGCTCTGGCAGCGGCGGCGCCGTTCTGATCGAGGACTTTGGACGGCTGAGATTGCACCGCAGCGAGTGCTCCTGGAACCAGGCGCCATCCGGGGGAGGCTGCATCTCCCTCGGGGATTTCTCCACCGCTACAGTCACGTCGTCTAACGTCACGGGCAACGACGGAGGGAACGAGGGCGGAGCGCTGCGTATGACGGGGCAAACGGTCCTCTCCCTCTCCTCGTCTCTCCTCTCGAACAACTCCGCTCTAGACGGAGGGGCCCTGTGGGCGGAAATGAACGCCCAGGTTGAGATCTCCGGTTCGAATCTCACCGGAAACACAGCCAAAGTGCAAGGCGGCGGGGTGTATGCTATCCACAAGTCGAACCTCTCTATTTCGGATTCTCAATTTGTGGCGAACCGGGCTTTGGTGGGCGGGGGGTTGCTAGCGGAGGGAGAGGTGGTGGTTTCAGTGACGGGAAAATCAGGGTTTGAGCGGAATGAGCAGCATGGTGTGGTGCTGCTGGGGCAGACCAAGGCGAGGTTTCAAGACACGGGGTTTAGAGGGAACGGTGCGGGAGGGTCGAGGGACGGTGGGGCGGTTTTGGTGTCAGATGTTGCTGTGGTGGTGCTGGTGGGAGGGGTGGTTATGGAGAGGAATTGGGCGAGGCGAGGGGGGGCGGTTTTTCCGATGCTGATAGCAGCCTGACGCTGTCGGATGAGTTGCTGGGAGGCGCAGCAGCAGCGGGAGCAGCAGGAGGAGTGAAAAGAGCTGCAGGGGAAGGAGGAGCAGCGGGAGGAGCGGCGGCAGGGCCATCCTCGTTACAAGCCCGCCGACCTCGTCTCATAAGAAACCGCGCGGAACACCAGGGAGCAGGAATATTCGCAGGTGGAAACGCCACCATCACCATTTCAGGCACCACTTTCAGCAACAACAAAGCCGGCGAATCGGGAGCAGGAATAGCCATTCTAGAGCAGGCCCACGGCACCCTCATAGCTTGTGCTTTCAAGAGGAATGTGGGGGGTGGGGAGGGTGCAGGGGTGTATGTTAACCGGGGAGGGGCAGCGGGTGGGGAGGTGGGGGATGCTGGGGCTGGATCGGTGGCTGTGAGTGAGTTTCTGCCCCCTGGGGCTGGGTCGGTGGATGGGAGTGGAGCTGATGGCAACACTGACATGAGCAACAGCACTGCAACTGCTACTGCTGCTGATGTGGCTGCTGCTGCTGGTGTGGCGGCAGCAGCAGCAGCAAGGGGTGGGGGGTTGCTGCCATTGGCAGTGTCCGGTCTAGCTTTTCAAGGCAACACTGCGGCCAGCACAAGTGTGTCTGCAACCCTCGGGGGCTCTGCCTTTTTCGACGCCACCTTTGAGCCCTCCATGCGCTCGCCGTGCCTCCGCTGCCACCGCACCGACCCCCTTGACACCTTGGGCTCTCCCCCAACTTCCTTCATGATGTGGTGAGTGAGTGGCCGAATGGGTAGCAGCAGAGACTGACACTCTGTATTTCACTGAAAGTATGTATCGCTCAAGAGCCACCTTTGAGCCCTCCATGCGCTCGCCCTGCCTCCGCTGCCACCGCACCGACCCGAGAGACACCATGTGGTGAGTGGTTGGGACTGGCATGTCTAGACACTGCAACCCTGGGGGGATCTGCCTTTTTCGACGCCATGTCTGAACCCTCCATGCGCTCGTCCTGCCTCCGCTGCCACCGCAACGGCCCGAGGGGTTCCCACCGACTTCCTTCATGATGTGTTGAGTGGGTGAGTTCATGAGTGAGTGAGTGAGTGAGTGAGTGAGTGAGTAGGTGGGGGTGGGTGGGTGGCAGCAGAGAGTGACACTCTGTATTGCAATGCAAGTGTTTATTCATGATGTGGTGAGCGAGTGGCAGCAGAGAGTGACACTCTGTATTGCAATGCAAGTGTTTATTCATGATGTGGTGAGCGAGTGGCAGCAGAGAGTGACACTCTGTATTGCAATGCAAGTGTTTATTCATGATGTGGTGAGCGAGTGACACTCTGTATTGCAATGCAAGTGTTTATTCATGATGTGGTGAGCGAGTGACACTCTGTATTGCAATGCAAGTGTTTATTCATGATGTGGTGAGCGAGTGGCAGCAGAGAGTGACACTCTGTATTGCAATGCAAGTTTTTATTCATGATGTGGTGAGCGAGTGGCAGCAGAGTGTGACACTCTGTATTGCAATGCAAGTGTTTATTCATGATGTGGTGAGCGAGTGGCAGCAGAGAGTGACACTCTGTATTGCAATGCAAGTGTTTATTCATGATGTGGTGAGCGAGTGGCAGCAGAGAGTGACACTCTGTATTGCAATGCAAGTGTTTATTCATGATGTGGTGAGCGAGTGGCAGCAGAGAGTGACACTCTGTATTGCAATGCAAGTGTTTATTCATGATGTGGTGAGCGAGTGGCAGCAGAGAGTGACACTCTGTATTGCAATGCAAGTGTTTATTCATGATGTGGTGAGCGAGTGGCAGCAGAGTGTGACACTCTGTATTGCAATGCAAGTGTTTATTCATGATGTGGTGAGCGAGTGGCAGCAGAGAGTGACACTCTGTATTGCAATGCAAGTGTTTATTCATGATGTGGTGAGCGAGTGGCAGCAGAGAGTGACACTCTGTATTGCAATGCAAGTGTTTATTCATGATGTGGTGAGCGAGTGACACTCTGTATTGCAATGCAAGTGTTTATTCATGATGTGGTGAGCGAGTGGCAGCAGAGAGTGACACTCTGTATTGCAATGCAAGTGTTTATTCATGATGTGGTGAGCGAGTGGCAGCAGAGAGTGACACTCTGTATTGCAATGCAAGTGTTTATTCATGATGTGGTGAGCGAGTGACACTCTGTATTGCAATGCAAGTGTTTATTCATGATGTGGTGAGCGAGTGGCAGCAGAGAGTGACACTCTGTATTGCAATGCAAGTGTTTATTCATGATGTGGTGAGCGAGTGGCAGCAGAGAGTGACACTCTGTATTGCAATGCAAGTGTTTATTCATGATGTGGTGAGCGAGTGACACTCTGTATTGCAATGCAAGTGTTTATTCATGATGTGGTGAGCGAGTGGCAGCAGAGAGTGACACTCTGTATTGCAATGCAAGTGTTTATTCATGATGTGGTGAGCGAGTGGCAGCAGAGTGTGACACTCTGTAGGCCATAGGCTCTGGCCTTACGAGACAACACGGCGGCCAGCACGAGTGGGGGGGGACATGGACGACCCCATCTCAGGGGCCCATTCCTGCACCGTTCTCCAGCCCGCTCCACCCATCTCCACCCCTCTCCTGTGTGTCCTGTGTGCTGTGTTCTCTCTGTGCCTTCACCAGGTGGGAGGGCAGTGGGGAGCGGGACACAGGCGGACAGGCGCGCTACAGAGTGAGGGGGGACATGGCAAACCCCGTCTCAGGGCCCCTCTCCTGCACCACTCTCCTGCACCCCTCTCCACCCCTCTCCTGTGTGCGCTGTGTGTGTTTCGTGTGTGCGCTGTGCCTTCACCAGGTGGGAGGGCAGTGGGGAGTGGGACACAGGCGGACAGGCGAGGTACAGAGTGAGGGGGGACATGGCAAACCCCGTCTCAGGGTTGCGAGTCACTCTGCTCGACGCTGCCGGCGTTGTCACTTCCAGTGTGAGTCTGCTGTGCGGTGCTGTGCTGTGCTGTGCTTTGCTGTTCTGTGCTGTGCTGTGCTGTGCTGTGCTGTGCTGCGCTGCGCTGCGCTGTGCGGTGCACTGCTCGCTGTTGCTGGCCTCCTTTGCCTAAACCCCAATTTCCTGCACTGTGCATGTTTCTACCCCCATCTCTTTTCCCCTCCCATCACATCAGGATGACTCGGTGTTGGTGGAGGTGGTGCCAAGCCCCTTCATCGCGGGGGAGCTCCGAGCAACAGCAGAAAGAAGAACCTTAATCGCTTTCTCTCTCATTTGCCTCTCCTGCTCATCCTCCCCATCACATCAGGATGACTCAGTGTTGGTGGAGGTGGTGCCAAGCCCCTTCATCTCTGGCGAGCTCCGAGCAACAGTAGTGGGCAGCACTGTCACTGTGCCGCCCATCACAATCGTCCAACTCCCTCCCTCCCTCACTCCTGCTGCTCCTACCGTCGACCCGACCGATACCCCAACTGGTGGTAACCCTACCGCTGCTTCTACCGGTGGTGACCCCATTGCTGCTGCCTATTCCGCTGCTCCCACTGATGCTCCCGATGCGACAGCTGGCGTGCTGTCATTGGCTGTGGCCGTCAGCAGCCCGCTGACCGCGTTCCCGCCGTTTCAGCGCACGCTGGAGATTGTTTTCTGCCCGGCCGGGCAGTATTACGAAACAGCAGCGAACGGCACGAACAACAGCAGCAGCAGCGGCGGCAGCAGCAGCAGCAGCAGCAGCAGCAGCAGCAGCACCACCACCACCACCACCACTACTGCCAACACCACCACCACCACCTCGAACACCACCACAAGTGGATCACCCCCTCTCACATCTGAGAATCCTCTGAATTCTCAGAATTCTCAAAACAGCCTGATGAGATGCACCATCTGTCCCATCGGCAGCTACTGCGGGCCTGGCAGGGGCGCCCAGCACTGCCCAGATGGCACCTTCTCCTTCCGCCCAGGTGCCACCTCCCCCACTGACTGCCTCCCCTGCCCCAACACCACCAACGCCCGCACCCACCTCCCCGCTATGACCTGCTCTGACGGCGCTGCTGACGTGGCGGCGGGGTATTGGCTGGATCCGGGGAGCGTCGCGAACGGGCAGGTGGTGGTGTATTCGTGCGATGTGCTCAACGGGTGTCCCGGGTTCCAAGCTTCTACCCTCCAAAATGGAAGCGATTCTCAGCTTTACCCGAATCCGGATTCAAGTTTAGCGCCAGGAGGAGGTGTGGCGGCGGCGGTGTGCGGCGGAGGGGAAGGGGCGCAGGGGCGGTGTGGAGGGGTTGAGGGGGGTGTTGGGGAGTATGGGCAGTGCGGGGAGGGGTACGCCCAAGTGCGCCTGTGCTCTGAGTGTGCTTCAGGTTTCTACTCTCTGCTGAGGGAGTGCCACTCCTGCACTGCCACCCTCAACACTGTGAGTCCCTGTTGAGTCAACTCAAGAGTGGGGGAGGGAGGAGGAGGAGGGGGTTAGCATGTGAGGTGCCGTTAGGGTGTCTGGTACAAAACTTTGCGTGGCACATGGCTGTTTTTTTTTTTTTTTTTTTTTTTTTTTCCCACAACCCCATCATCCCCCATTGCCTTCCCCAATTCCCCCTTTCCCGTTCACTACAGCTCTTCCCACTCTTCCTCACGCTTATCCCTCTGGCATGGGCAGCCATGGCACTACTCTCCTCCGCCTTCCACGCTGCAGCAATCTTCCTCACTCCCCCACTCCCTGTGTCAACCCCCACTTACCCGTCCTCACCCGCATTCCCCATCACTACAGCTTTTCCCACTCTTCCTCTCACACTCATCCTGCTCGCATGGGCAGCCATGGCACTGCTGCCCTCCGCCTTCCACGCAGCACCTCTCTTTCCCCCTCTACCCTGTTCGTCTCCCCTCTCCCCGGCAGCTTTTCCCACTCTTCCTCTCACACTCATCCTGCTCGCATGGGCAGCCATGGCACTGCTGTCCTCCGCCTTCCACGTAGCAGCCATCTTCCTCACAGACCTGCACCTGCTTGCTCTCATTGCAACTTATAAATGGCCCAGTGGCCCCTCTCCCACTTCCCCCCAGCTTGTGCCACCCCCAACCCCTCTCCACCCCTCCCCATCCCCACTCCACCCCCTTGGCCCCCCTTCTTTCCCCCTTTGCAGCTCTTCCCGCTCTACCTCATTCTGATCCTCCTAGCGTGGGCGGCCATGGCACTACTCTCATCCGCCTTCCACGCTGCAGCCATCTTCCTCACAGACCTGCAGCTGCTCTCACTCATTGCATCCTACACCGTACCGCTCCCCACCTGGCTCAACCCCTTCATTCAGCTCTTCCAGCTCTCACTCTTCATCCCCGTGAGTGCTGCTGTGTGAATGACTTTGTGTAAGTGCTGCTGTGTGCTGAGTCATTCTAAGAAAAGTCCTGTTACTGTTACTGTTACCATGTGATAGCACCACCAGCATCTTCCACTCCTCACCCTTCAGCTGTGACCACTTTTGAGGCGCCTCAAAAGACACCAGCATGCTCCCCACCCTTCAACTGTGACCACCCATGTTCCCTTCATTCAATCTCTCTCGCCCCCTCCATGCACTTTCTCTCTGCTTCCTTCTACCCCATCCCCCATTTCTGCCATCTCCTATCCCATCTCCCCATCCTCATTGCAATCCCATATTCTTCACCCTAAACCCGAAACCATCAGGACGCGGTAGCACCGGCATGGTCCACACCCTTCGGCCCCTCTCACCCACAGTCTCTCCCCTTCACTGATTGCAATCTCCCATGCATGCATGTATCAGGTCGTGGTAGCACCGGCATGCTCCACACCCTTCGGCTACAAGCAGGAATGGCCAGTCACCACTCAATCTCGCCCCTCACCCCTCTTCTCTCCTCTTCCTTCCCATTCCCCCATCCCCACATTCGACACATCCCCCATCTCCCATGCACCCATCAGGACCTGATTGCACCGGCATGCTCCACACCCTTCGGCTACGAGCAGGAATAGGCAGTCACCACACAATCTCCCCCTAATCACCCACCTTCTCCCCGCTATTTCCGCCCCTTCTCCACCCTTATCCCCATCCCTTATGCCCTCATGCCTGCACCCTTCAGGACCTGATTGCACCTGCTTGCTCTACACCCTTCGGCTACGAGCAGGAATGGGCAGTCACCATGCTCGTACCCCTTATAGGCCTCCTCGTTTACGCCGCAATCTTTGCCCTGCGCAAGCTCTACCTGTTTGTTTTCCGTAGCAAAAGCACCTCTACCGCTGCAGTTACCACCTCCACTTCCCCTCCTCCTCCTCCTGCTGCTGCTGCTGCTGCTCCCGCTGCTACTGCTACCACCAGCAACATAGGAGCAGAAGACACTGCTTCCCCCAACCACCCTCCATCCCACACCCACTCTGACCCCTTCAATTACACCCTATTTCACGGGGTAACCAACTGGTTAGACCTCTGCTACGCGCCAGTCATTTACCGCTGCCTGCAAGCCCTCCACCCGTACTTCTATGGGATACAGACGCTCGCCGCCGCCCCGACTATCGTCTGGTTCTCCGCCGCCCACAACACCATGTTTGCTTTGTCTGTAGTGGTGCTGGTGTTATATGGGATGGGTCTGCCTGTGGGTCATGCGGTGGTGTTGTGGTGGGGGAGAGGGGGAGGGGGGCGGGAGCAAGGAGGGGAAGTGGGGAAAGGGGAGGGGAGGGGAGAGGAGGGGAGGAGAAGGGAGGGGGCGAGAGGGAGGGGGAAGGGAGAGGAGGGGAGGAGAGGGGGATGGGATGGGCATGCGTACAAGAGGCGGTGGGGGTGGATGGTCAACCGATACGACGATCACTATTACTGGTAGGTCAAGCAACCATGTGCTTCGCCTGAGCACCCCTCCTTGTCTTCATTTCCCTACTCCCCTCCCCCACCCACCCCCTTTCCCCCCTCCTACCCCTTCCCCTCTACCCCCCACCCCCCACCCCCCCCCTTCTTCTCCCCCTCCCTCCCCCAGGTGACAACTCACGTGCTACGCAACGCACGTGCTTCCATCCCCCTTACCCCTCCCCCTCCACCTCCCCCAGGTGGCACCTCATGTGCTACGCAACGCACGGCGGCTGTTCATTGCCAGCCTCCTCTTTGCCTGCACGTCCTCTGAGACCCCCAGCAGTGCCCTCCCCGACTTCCTTTCCCTCCTTCCCTCCCCCTTACCCCTCCCCCTTCCACCTCCCGCAGGTGGCACCTCACGTGCTACGCGCGGCGCCTGTTCATAGCCTCCCTGGCAGTCTTCCCCTGCACGTCCCCCGAGACACAGCTCTCCGTCACGCTCCCTCTGCAAGCGATCCACATCGGCCTCCACTTCGCCGCCTCCCCACACTCCTCGCTCTCTCTCGACCTCCTCTCCTCCCTCCTCGCTCTCTCGGAGCTTCTATTCACGGTTGCTCTCACGGGGAAGAGCTATGTGGTTGTGCCGGCGGCCGCTACAGGGCTGTTTGTGTGCGCGCTCGTGCTGCTGCTTGTGCCTGCGGCGTTGGTGTTGTTATATGAGATGGTGAATGGGTTCATAGCGTGGTGTAACCGGAGGGAGTTGCGGAGACTGGAGAGGAGAGGGAAGGGCGGGAGCGGGAGGGGGAGTGCGGGAGGCGGAGGGGGAGGAGGAACGGGAGGGGGAGGGGGTGGTGCAGGGACGGGTGAGGGAATGTGTGGGGATGGGTGGGGAGGGATGGATATGGGTGATGTGGCAGCATGGTTCAGACCACATGTGCTCTACACCTTCCTCCTCCACTGCAACAAGTCTGCTGCTGCCTCTGCTGCCGCTGCTGCTACCGCTGCTCCTGGCACTGCTGCTGATACTGCTGCACAACCAGCCAACCCAGCAACCACCACATCATCACCACCAGCAGCACCACCACCACCGGCACCACCAGCAGCCCAGCAGCACCCAGCGCAGCTCCTCCTAACCGTTCACCACCGCTTTCTTCTCTGCAAAACCCATGGCATGGGCAGCACGGAGTGGACCCACCACCTGGCCAAGTCCCAGCTCTACGCGGTCCTCTCCCAGGCCCTCCTCGGCGCTGCTGTGGGGGATGTCACTGTCGCCCGCATGCCCGCAGGGAAAAGCGACGCCCAGGTTCTCAGCTCACGGATTGCCCAGCACCAGCAGCAGCAGCAGCCGCAGCAGCAGCGGTCAAGTCAGCAGGAGCAACCAAACCAGCAGCAGCAGCTGTTGGGAGCAGCAGCGATGGAGCGGGGAGGCGTGGGGTCTACGAGTGGGCGTCGCAGCAACATCAGCGCTCTGGTTCGCAGCCTATCCAAGCGAGAGGGCGTCACTAATGCCTCTGCCACTGACCTTCTCTCCTCCATGTCTCGCAGTAGCTCCCGCCGTGAACTCCCCGGAGCAGCAACAGCGGCAGCAACAGGAGCACCAGGAGGGGCAGCAGGGGTGGCAGGGGTGGGAACATCAGGCATGGCCGAAGGTGCAGCAGGGGCAGCAGGAGCTATCACCATCAGCGGTAGTGGGGGGCTGCTGGTAAGGAGCGGATCCACCTCACAAGACATACCTTCCGAGGCCACCGCCTGGGCTTCTGCGATCGGCGCGTACGGCCTCCCTAGAAGCAGCTCCCGCCGCGAGATCGTCCCTGACTCACCCCGGCTCGCTCCCGCTGCCCTAGGAGCACCAACAGGGCCCTTGTTCGCTGGAGCAGCAGCAGCAGGGGGAGCAGGTGTGGTGGGTGCAGCAGGGGGAGCAGGTGCAGGAGCAGCAGCAGCAGGGGGGGGTCTAGGAGGGGTGCTAGCAGTAGGAGTGCCAGGAACACCTGTGACCCGCCCTGGGCTGTCTCGCAGAGAGATCGTACCCGACTCACCTCTGACCTTCTCCAGGAGTGCTTCCCGTCGCACTGCCCTCGCAGACTCCCCCGCTTCCTCCGCCCTCTCCCCCTCCCCCTCTGCCGCTGCCTTGACCGGCGTGCCTGGCCCCGGCAGCCTGGGTGGCTTCTCCTTGTCCCGTAGCGGCTCCCGCCGCGACCTCTCAGGAGAATTCTCAGGTGTTTTGCCGGTCGTGCGGCAGTCCATGTCACGAAGCTCCTCGCGGCGGGAGATTGTGGCGGAGATTGAAGGGGAGCTTGCAGCCTCGGGATTGCCGGGGGCGCTGTCGCGGTCACTCTCCCGGTCGCTGTCTCGGAGCGCGTCGAGGAGGGAGAGGTGGAATGATGGGAGTAGTAACTTTGGAGGGGGGGTTGTGGAGGCTGAGGTGGTGTCTTGTGCTGAGTGGCCGCCTAGGTTAGAGGACCATGTCACTTGGGCTGCTGCTGCTGATGTTGGGGGTGCTGCTGCTGCCAATGGTGGTGGTAGTGGTGCTGGTGACTCCTCTGCTGCTGCTAGTGGTGATCCTGGCAGTAGTGGTGCTGGTGATTCTGCTACTGCTGCTGCTGTTGGTGCTGCTGCTGCTGTTGGTGCTAGTGATTCTGGTTCTGGTGCTGCTGCTGCTGCTGGTGCTGCCGCTGGTGGTGCTGGTGCTGCCAGTGCAGCTGCCCAGAGGGCAGGGGAGGGTGGGGCAGCAACAGCCACCACCACTCCTCCTGCTGCTGACTCATCACCGCATGCGGCTGACTCATCACCACATCAGCCCTCCCCGTCTAGCCCTCTGGCAGCGTCCACTGCGGTACCAGAACCATCCAGATCTCCAGGTTCTAGCCCGCATAATCCCAGCAGCACAGCACCCAATGATGCAAGCCGCGGTGCGCTGAGTGATGCAGCACTGCGCAGCACAGCACCACAGAGCACACCACCGCACAGCACACCACCGTCATTACCTGTAGGATCATCACTACCGCCAGTGGCCACACCAGGAGAAGCAGCAGCAGCAAGCACAGAAAGAATAGCAGCACCAGAAACTGCTGCTGCAGCAGCAGCAGGAGAAGGAGGAGCAGGAGGAGCAGGAGGAGTAAGGGCAGCAGCAGGGAGCAGGGGAGCGGGAGGGGAGGGGGAGTACCTTGAGGCGCGGCTGAGTGTGGCGGAGTTGACACTCACGTTTCAGCGCCACCTGGCGATCCTGGTGCGCGTGGAGGCACACCGCAGGGAGGACTCGCTGCGCCTGCTGTTGCGATCCGATGCGGTGCAGGACATCATTGCTTGGCTCACCTCTCCGTACTGGTGAGTTGTGAGACGCCTCAAAACTAGCTGCACTGGTAGGTTGTGAGATGAGACGTCTCAAAAGGCGCACAGGAGAGAGGACTCGCTCAGGCTGCTGTTGCGATCCGATGCCGTGCAGGACATCATTGCGTGGCTCACCTCGCCGCACTGGTAAGTTCTGAGGTGCCTCGAAACTTGCTGCATTGGTGGGTTATGAGGTGAGACGTCTGAAATGGCGCACAGGAGGGAGGACTCGCCGCCACTGCTGTTGCGATCCGATGCTGTGCAGGACATCATTGCTGCTCACATCGCCACATTGGTAAGTGTTGTTGAGGGGAGATGTCTCAAAAATCGCACTGCAGGGAGGGATCACTGTGTCTGCTGCTGTGGTCCGATGCCGTGCAAGACATCATTTCGTGGCTGATGTCACCGCATTGGTAGAGCCGTATTGCAGCGTCGCATGGACTGGGATTGCACCTCCTGCTGTTTCTGTTTTTGTCGTGGTTATCTTTCTTCTCTTCTTCTCAGGCCAGCTGTTTGTATCTTGCTTCAATTGTGTCTCCGTTTTATTGGTTTTCCAACTCTTGTTGCTGTTCCTTCCAGTAATGCGGAGGATCAACGGCTTGTGTTGGAGTTGGTCAGATTGATGAGGGAGGCAGCAGAAGCAGAAGCAGGAGGGCTGCAGTGGTACAAGGGGTTCCTTTGCTTCTTCCGCACACTAAGAATGTTTGGTGGTATTTATTGAGCTTCAAGCTACTGTCATACAATTTATAATTCAATGTGATGTTGACTGCGGCGCCAAGCAAATGTTTGTTCTAGGTTTGTGTTGAGTCCTTGGGTGATGGGTTTTTTTAGTTTACAGGCATCAATAAGTAAACTCACCTCTATTGATTGTACCAGATTCAGATTCAACCTCTACTGTTGCAGGGTGTTTTCCCGATATCACCCACGCCATTATCGCCAGCCACCACCGCACCGGCACCGCGCTCCGTTTGTATCACACCCGCAAGACTGCCTGAAGTTCCTCTCCCTCTCCCACAGCCGGCGGTGAGGTTACCAAGGATCCAATCTGCACACCTCGTTTTAGTCCCACATCTCCCAAGGCTTCGGGCACACACACCAACCCTTGCCACCCTCCCTCACAATCCACCCTTCCAGCGCACACGCGTGTCCACCTGCCCCTAGGTCTGGTTCGGTGGGTGCTTTTTGGCCATTGGTTCGCGAAGAATGAATCACTTCACTCCTCGTTCGTTAGGATTTCGTCTGAGCTCGCTGGGGCTCGTTGGATGTGCTACAGTAATATTAGACCCACCATCATCATCTCTTCAATCTCCACTCTTTCTAGTCCACTCCACAACCATAGCGTAGTTCTTCTGTTCATATCCTCCTCTCCTCTCCTCACCTTCAATTCTTTATGGTCAAGTTTTGCACCATGTCTCTAGAACAATTTCTCCGAGGCCGTGGGTATCACTTTTCAGTCAGGATATCTATTTTGCTCACATATTTTCAAATTTGTACCCGCAGTTCAAGCTAATTAGCTTTATCCCCAAAGCAGAAGCTTTAGTGTCGCTTCAAGCTAAGCTATTTGCGTTGTGCCGCTGAGAGAACGGCACAGAATGGAGGCCGAGATCCAACCCGTCTCAGATCGCGATAACGATAATCTTCGTCACAGCCAGCGAAACCATCATGATAGTTCCCGTCACGGCCGTGCTTCGGGCAATCGTCACCCCGCTGAAAATGTCGCCGAAGCCGAAACAGGTTCAGACAATGCCGATCGTCGCGTGTTAGCGGAGCTCGCGACAGCGATATCCCTCGCAGAACGCATCCTGCAGATAGCCGCTACGGCGTCGCAGTCTCGCTCCCACCGGGTACTAACGGATCGGATTGCAACGCGTACGCAGCAGCTTCTTCCCGTGCTTCGCCGGCTGCAGGCTTCGTCGATGAGCCTCATCCACGACCCCAGAGCCACTTTCGTATTCGAGCGTCTGGTTACCGAGTTACAGGAGGCGAAGCATCTTCTGGAGACCAGCACCAAGGCCTCCGTGCTCGGCATTATGTTCCGCTTCAAGCGCCGATCGGAAATCGCGGAGCGGCTGGAGACATGTTTAGCGGAGATCCGGCAGTGCCACACGGAATGCCTCATTCTGATTGGCCAGGACAATTTCCACGGTCGAAGCACCTACACGCCGCGCAGTGCTACCGGCGTCCCTCCCGCAACTGGCGGCGGCAACAGCGGCCGCGGAGGCACCGGCGGAGGTACCGGCGGAAGCATCAGCGGAGACGCTCCGGAGCGACTAGGCTCGGATTACGGTTCCGCGGGTGGAGGTTTGCAGCGGGGTTTTTCAACAGAGGTGATTCTCCCTTCCAGCCCTATGGTAGACCGCTCCCCCCGCGCTTGGAACAGAGGCAGGCAATCCGGTGCGCATAGTCCCCGCCCCGGCGCGCTTCCGCGGTCAGGAAGCGACGGCTTGCCAGAGCAGGTGTCCCGCGGCGCGCACGGGATTCACGGGGTTTATGGCGGTCACGGGGATCGACATTCGCAGCAGCAGCAGCGGCGCCTGGTGCCGGAGTTGAATCGGCCCGGCACGGCGGGCGAGGCGATGCCCCGCTCCTTCTCTTCCACGGACGCCGCTGACGTGGCAGCGGCGCGCGGCACTCCCGGGGAGTTCTCGATGGACATCCCGAACGTGCGACGGGCGAATGCCGCGAGGCCCGCTGCTGGGACGGAGGAGATGCGCGCAGACGGTAACGGAGAGATGACGGTTTCTGCTTACACGCCACCCAGCGTCCGGTTTACGTCAGAGTACCCCCGCCCTCCCCCCAGCGTGAGTAGCATCTCCTCAGAATCCGACCACGCGCGGGTACTCGTCTCCGCGCTCATGGACGGGTCGAACGCGGAGAAGCGCGCGGCGCTGGCGGCGCTGCTAGAGCAGGCGGAATCGGATGAGGGGAAGCTCAGTGTGGCCGCAGCGGGCGCGGTTCCGGTGCTGTCTGTCCTCCTCACTCTCCCCGACAGTCCCGGGGAGCCCACGAAACTAGCCGCCGCGCGCGTGCTGCTGCGCCTCGCGTGCTTAGACGAGAACCGAGTGGTGATCGCTAAAGCGGGGTGCGTGCCCTCGTTTGTGTCACTCCTGCGCACCGGCGGCCCCGAGGCGAGAGCGGTCGCGGCGCGGGTGCTGTGGAACTTAGCGGTGAACACAGAGAATAAGGTTATTATCGCCGCGTCAGAGGCCGTCCCGTCTTTAGTCGCAATTATCCAATCGGACTCTGAGAGTGAAGCGAAACAGGAGGCTGCAGAGGCTCTAGCGCAGCTTACAGCCAATAATGTTAGGAATCAGACGGCTGTAGCAGAAGCAGGGGGCGTGCCCGCTCTCGTGACTATGCTGAAAGAAGGCTCGCCTCCCGAGCAGGAGAAAGCGGCGCTCGCTTTAGGCACAATCGCTGTGAATCACGACGAGAACAAGTTGACTGTAGCGGGAGCAGGCGCGTGTCCCCTCCTCCTAGACCTGCTCTGTCAGAACGATCATCCCGAGGCGTCAAAGAATGCTGCCTGGGCTCTCTACGTCCTGTCCTCCAACAAGGTATCCGCGACTTACATCCTCGCTAGTGGCGGACTCGTTGCAGTGAAAAGAGTGCAGAACGAAGGCCCGCCGGAGTCACTGTATTGGGCTTCGCACATCTTGTCTCTTCTGGATCCGTCTGCTGGCCCCCCTGAGAAGCACCCAGCGCATCGGCTGTCGGGTTTTGGGCCGGCGAAGGGGGGCAGAGACGATGAGGAGACTGCGAGTCAGCGAATGGAGGAGCGGCGGGCAACAAGGGAGAAAATCGTTAAGGGGTGGTAGGGTCGAGTTTTGAGTACGTTGAAAAGGCACCCAGCGCATCAGCTGTCGGGGTTTGGGCTGGCGAAAGGGGGCAGGGAGGAGGAGGAGATCACGATGAGTCAGCGGGGATGGACGAGCGGCGGGCAACGAGGGAGATAATCGTTAAGGGGTGGTAGGGTCGATTTCTTAGTAGACTGAAAACTCACCGAGCCCTTCGACTGTCAGGGTTTTGGGCCAGCGGAAGGGGGCAGGGATGAGGAGGAGATTACGAGTCAGCGAATGGAGGAGTGGCGGGCAACGAGGGAGATAATCGTTAAGGGGTGGTGATGTAGCAAGGTCAGGCTACATGGCGGGTGAAATGTTCAGGGTTGTGATGTGAGATACGTGGCAGGGTTGAATGAGTAGGGTTGGGTTGGTGGGGTACTGAAGGTGGAGGGGGGGCAGGGAAGCATAGTAGGGCTGGTGGGATACTGAGGGTGATGAGGCAGATAGGAGGGTGAAGCAATTGGGCTCGTGGGTTGGCGGGGTTGGTGAGATAGTGGGGTGGGTGTGATGTGATAGAAGCTGTGGTTCGTCAACACGGTGGATTGGGAATCTTGATCAGTCAAGCCTTTTGAGGCGCCTCAAAGAGTGGTTAGACGGCAAGGCGGCATTGGGGATTGTGAGCAGTGAAGCGTATGAGATGGTTGGAGTCAAAGTGGTGATAAGAGCAGTTTGAAGCAGGTGCGCCAAGCCAAGGGGTGCTCGGAGGGAGTTGTGAGGCCAGGAAAGGTTGGGGCCATCATTGGGTTGTGCGGCAACCATTCTTGAAGCTCCGGCAAGAAATGCTATCAGTGGAGGGTCCGTCCGGGAGCTTTTTTGGTTCAATACCTAAGTGCAGCGGGGCCCAATTTCAGGTTCTGGAGGTGCAATGCTATGCGAGCTTGAGAAGGGGGCAGCAGCTGCTGCATGTTTCGTGGAGGTGGTGGGATTTGTGATTCCTGTTGCCGTGCTTAGTCAGAAAGTTCGTATTTATTTGTTATGGGACGATCTTCAGTTGGTAGGTATACATTGCAGCTCTTTGGGAAGTTATCTGGCATGCATGCATGTGCTGATTTGATTTTTGTCGTTAGCTGCTGTGTAGGTTTAGTTGTATTAGTGCAGGCTCGGATGATCATAGCGCAACACGTTCATACATACATGTAGGGTATACTTCCGTCAGAACCGTTCTTAACCTCGCCGCTTGTCGAGAAATCCAGTTTGTCAGGTGTCTGATTTGCCTCCCCCCCTGTCACCATCAGTTTGGCCACTAAAATGTACCATTACCCACCGAGTCGAATCCCTCTCCTCTGGCTGCTTTGAAGCGGCCAGAGAGCGATCACTGCTGTTCGCGGATTTGCCGCCACTCGTATCGTTGCTCTCACTCTGCCGTTTGTGTATTAGGAAGGAAGCACGACCTTTCCGTTTTCCGTAGCGGTTGACTGCCATGGAGGGGGTGCTTCGTGCTGAGCTGTTGAAACTGCTGCCGCTCGTTCATCCCGCTCCAAGCGGCCTCGGTAGTACCGGCGGCAGGAGCCTCGCCTACGATGTGACTAAAGCGAAAACGGCGTTCGCTCCCTACAGAATCTGCCCGTTAGGAGCTCACGTCGATCACCAGGTAATGAACTCGCGTTTTTTTTCCTTCAAAACGCATAGACGCGCTTTTCGCCAACCGAAATTTGTGGCCCTCTGAGGGAAACATTCGAGAGCGAAGAGCGTTTTGCGTCCCTTCAGTACAATCCTACACAGTTGCCAAGGGTGCTCACCAAGTCATGATGATCTCTCGTGACATTAATTCCAGTCTCGAAAACTTTGAACATAAATCAATTCTGGTGCCACTCTCCTCCGTCTCCTCCTCACTTCGGGATGTCAATCCTACTCAGCAACTCCCAAATCCTTCTCCTCTCCTCCGTTCTCCTTTCCTCTTCTCTTCCCTCCTCTCCTCTCCTCTCGACTCCTCTCCTTTCTCTCCTCTCCTCAACAGGGGGGTCCAGTGCTTGCAGCAGCCATCAACACAGGGGTTCGCTTCTGTTTCCTTTCGAGTCGACTCAAAAGCAGACTCGTCTTCCCTCCTCCCTTTTCCTCTCTCCTCTCCCCATTCCCCCAACAGGGGGGTCCAGTGCTTGCTGCAGCCATCAACACGGGGGTTCGCTTCCTTTTCCTCCCCACTCCCACTCCCCAGGTGAGCCTCTCCCCTGCATCTATCCCCCTCTCCTCCTCTTCTTCTTTCCTCTGTTTGCTCGCTCGTTGTCGTCTTCTCACCTTTTGGTTCGCACCCGTTCACCTTCTTTGAAGGATTCATTACTCAGCCTGCATTCTGACATGAGGTTTGCCTCAACTATCCATGTGGAGTGGACTGGCAGGTTGTTGTTGCATCGCTGCAATTCAGAGGCACTGTGCAGTTCTCATTCAGGTGGGTTCCAACTTGTTTCTTCACGCGTTTCAGATGGTTTTGAGGCGCCTCAAAACGCATTCAGGTGGGTTCCAACTTGTTTCTTCACGCGTTTCAGATGATCAGCGCGGATGCCAAAACAAGCTGTGCTTAGCATTAGAAAGCATGCCTCCATGGATGCATGGGACGGAAAAGGCTCCTGTTGCTGCTTACATCTCCATTATGGTCACCATGCGCATGGTATGGCATGGCATGGCATGGCATGGCATGGCATGGCATGGCATGGCATGGCATGGCGTGGCATGGCATGGCATGGCATGGCATGGCATGGCATGGCATGGCATGGCATGGCATGGCGTGGCATGGCATGGCACAATGGCATGTGTCTGCGTGCAGCGCACAAGCATTGCCAGCGAAGAGATAGAGTCAGTCAGATGTGAGAAAAAAATTTCTCTACTTCTGAAAACAATCTGAGTATCATGTGTGTGATGGTTTGGCTTGGCGATTGTGCATGTGGCATGTGTGTGCAGCACGCAAGCACGGCCGGTGAAGAGACAGAAGCAGCCAGATGAGCGCACCGGAGGCGTGGAAGCGAAACAAGGGAAGGACGGCGGAGGTGAAGCGGAGGAGGAGGGAGAGGAAGAGGAGCAGTGCTGGGGTAACTTTGGCCGAGGGGCAGTGTGGGCGTTGCTAGAAGCAGGGCACAATGTGGAACAGGTGGGTGTTTGGGTGGTTCGGACTGGCTGAGTGGATTTGGAAGCTACTCTGAAGTTCAGCTTCCCCCGAGTGTCCCTGTGATGATTGATGTGTGCGATCTTTTTGCGAATGGCACATGTTGTCGATTCTTCCCTTCTGTCTACATCAGGGAGTGGTGGGAGTGATGTGCGGGCAGCCAGGCATGGACAGTGCAGGTGTCAGCTCCTCTGCAGCTGTGAGATACACCCATGCGCCCATACACACATGCACCTTTTTCTTGAAATCACTTTTGAAATCACCTGCGCCTCAAAAGTGGTTTCAATACAGGCGTCAGCTCCTCAGCAGCTGTAAGATTTACCCATGCGCCTACCAATACGTTCACCTTTCCTTAGGCGCCTCAAAGGTTTACCTATGCGCCCACCCCTGCGTATTCTCTTCGCTTTCCACAACCATAATCCCGTTGTCGCTGGGTTAATCGGAGTCCACTTGCAATGCGCCCATTTGTTTTGTAAGATTTACCCATGTTGCATGGGTTTGGAATCTTCGAGGTGATTTTTTAGGCACGTCAAATAGGATTTACCCATGAGACGATTTTTTAGGCGCCTCAAAAATCGACAAACAGGATTTACTCATGTCGCATTGGTTTGAAACCGTCTGGTTCAACCTTGGCTCCGATCTCTTCCGCTGTGCCACGCCATCTGCACAGGCAGACAGGTGTCGCATTCCTATTGGCCCTCGCCGATGCCAACAACCTCTCACTCTCTCCAGCGGAACTCATTGAGCTAGACAGGTACACCTCATTGCACCGCACTGCACCTTATTCCATTCACTTCTTTTGGCTGCCTCACTTGCATGCAGTGCTGCCTCTTTATCTCCCACTCTACCACCATGCCACCTCCAATCCTCATGCAATTCTCCTGCCTTTGTTTCTTTCAGTTGCTGTGATCCTATCCTTCATTCCTTACTTGTCTTAGTTGTCTTCCTCTTTGATGCATTCCTCCGTTCCTTATTGATCTTGCATTCTGCCATCAGGCTCCCTTGTCAGTTCAAAAACGATTCCCTTGGTCTCCTCCTCTGCCCTTTCCAACCTGCTGCAATCCTCTCTCCCTCCATTCGCTCCTCTTGCATACTTTGCTCAGGCTTATAGAGAACGGTTTCCTTGGTTTGAGGAACGGAGTGTTGGACCAATCAGCAATCGTCCTTTCAAAATCCGGCCACCTCACACGCATCTGGTGCCAGGTCAGCTGAATCACCTAACAGAACCGCACTTTTCCGTTCTTTATGCTCCCCACGATCATCCACTGTTGCTTCCAATTCCCTCTCCGTCTCCCATCCGACACTCCACCTGCCCCTCCTTTCACACTGCGCCTCATTCCTAAATGCATGACAGCCTGACCACCTCTCCTTGGTTGTCCCAAATTCAAGGATCAAGATTCATGTCGGGAGTAGCAGCAAATCTTGATCCTGCTACTCCCGACATGAATCTTGATCCTTGGACAGCCTGACCACCTCTCCTTGGTTGTCCCTCTCCCAAATTCCAATCCCTCTTCCTCAGGATCGTCGACACGACTTCATTCCACTCCCTGCGGGATCACCATCTGACCCCAATAAACAAGGTGCGTATGAGTCAGTATCCTTGTGCGCTCAGGTTGTGAGAATCTTCAGAAGTGATACACGCATGCCCTAACGAATCACCATCTGACTTCAATAAGCAGGGTGCTTATGAATCAAACGAGGCATCCTCCCCTGTGCCTCCCAGATCCTCTCCCCCCAGTCGCCTTCATCTTGCCTGTCTCAGGCATGCAGGCGGCTATCGTTCAATCGTCGGGCTACAACAATCCGAGGTGATCAATTACCTCTTTCATCTGACTTCATCCTGGGTTTTACTCCACTCATCACCTTCTCTCTTTCTCTCCATCCCTCCCCTGTGCCTCCCAGAACCCCTCCCCCCAGTCGCTTTCATCTTGGCCTTCTCAGGCATGCAGGCGGCACTCACTTCCTCCTCGGGCTACAACAACCGCGTGCAGGAGTGCCAGGAAGCTGCCAGGATGCTTCTCGCTGCAGCAGGCCTGGAAGTGCCTTCTTCTCCTGTTTTATCACAAGGTCAGAGGCAAGAGGAAGGGCGGGCTTGTTTTCTTGGCAAGGTCATGGCATGGAAAGACCTGTCTTATGGACTGAGAAGGTCTGAGGCATCAGGCGGGCTGGGTTGAATATATTGAGTGGCATCAGGCGGGCGTGTAAGAAAATAGCGTGCGGGTTTAGTACACATATTTAGCCTATTGAGCCTTGTGGCAGACGTTATTGCAGTATCACCTTTTCCGCACGCTGTTTTCTTACACGTGTGCCTGACATGACCTGTGGCTTCTTGTCCTTTGCTTGCAGTGCCTCTTCACGTCTTCAACACCCACAAGGTAATATATTTTTTTTGCTGTCGCTTTTGGCCATTCTGAGTCCCAAAAAACTACTTCTGCAGTTAACAATTCCAGTCTCAAGGAGCCTCAAGGGTGAGGTAACATAAGGGTAACATAAGGGTAAACATCCCAAAGGGCCTTCCCTTTTCTTGTCGCTATTGGCAATTTTTTAGGCGACGCGAAAATCACTTTTGCCGTTAATCACAATTCCAGTCTCAAGGAGCCTCAAGGGTGAGGTAACATCCCAATAAGCCTAGCCTTTTCTTGTCGCCAGTGGCAGCACCGTCTGCCTGATGCACTGTGTCGTCTCGCCACACACTTTCTCTGAGAGCGCGCGAGTGCTGCAGGGCGCTGAGGCGCTGCAGCAATAACATCTAATGGTTGGCCCTTCTTTCCCGCCAATGGCAGGACCAATTACCTGAGGAGCTGCACCGCCGTGCCATGCACTTCTTCTCAGAGAGCGCGCGCGTGCACCAGGGCGCTGAGGCTCTGCAGCAAGGCGACTGGCAGCTGTTTGGGCGCCTCATGTCGGAGTCGGGGCATAGCTCCATCGAGCAGTACGAGTGCGGTCAGTGCGGGGTGGAGAGAGGTGGGAGGGGCAGAGGCTCCATCGATCAGTAATGCAGAGGTGGGAGGGGCAGAGGCTCCACCTTGTTTCGCTGAGGCTCTGCAGCAAGGCGACTGGCAGCTGTTTGGGCGCCTCATGTCGGAGTCGGGGCAGAGCTCCATCGATCAGTATGAGTGCGGTCAGTGTGGGTGGGGTGCGGTGATGGTGGGTGGAGTGCAGCCAGTTGTGCTTCAGGGCGCTGAGGCACTGCAACAGGGCGACTGGCGCCTGTTTGGGCGCCTCATGTCGGAGTCGGGGCAGAGCTCCATCGATCAGTATGAGTGCGGTCAGTGTGGGTGGGGTGCGGTGATGGTGGGTGGAGTGCAGCCAGTTGTGCTTCAGGGCGCTGAGGCACTGCAACAGGGCGACTGGCGCCTGTTTGGGCGCCTCATGTCGGAGTCGGGGCAGAGCTCCATCGATCAGTATGAGTGCGGTCAGTGTGGGTGGGGTGCGGTGATGGTGGGTGGAGTGCAGCCAGTTGTGCTTCAGGGCGCTGAGGCACTGCAACAGGGCGACTGGCGCCTGTTTGGGCGCCTCATGTCGGAGTCGGGGCAGAGCTCCATCGATCAGTATGAGTGCGGTCAGTGTGGGTGGGGTGCGGTGATGGTGGGTGGAGTGCAGCCAGTTGTGCTTCAGGGCGCTGAGGCACTGCAACAGGGCGACTGGCGCCTGTTTGGGCGCCTCATGTCGGAGTCGGGGCAGAGCTCCATCGATCAGTATGAGTGCGGTCAGTGTGGGTGGGGTGCGGTGATGGTGGGTGGAGTGCAGCCAGTTGTGCTTCAGGGCGCTGAGGCACTGCAACAGGGCGACTGGCGCCTGTTTGGGCGCCTCATGTCGGAGTCGGGGCAGAGCTCCATCGATCAGTATGAGTGCGGTCAGTGTGGGTGGGGTGCGGTGATGGTGGGTGGAGTGCAGCCAGTTGTGCTTCAGGGCGCTGAGGCACTGCAACAGGGCGACTGGCGCCTGTTTGGGCGCCTCATGTCGGAGTCGGGGCAGAGCTCCATCGATCAGTATGAGTGCGGTCAGTGTGGGTGGGGTGCGGTGATGGTGGGTGGAGTGCAGCCAGTTGTGCTTCAGGGCGCTGAGGCACTGCAACAGAGCGACTGGCGCCTGTTTGGGCGCCTCATGTCGGAGTCGGGGCAGAGCTCCATCGATCAGTATGAGTGCGGTCAGTGTGGGTGGGGTGCGGTGATGGTGGGTGGAGTGCAGCCAGTTGTGCTTCAGGGCGCTGAGGCACTGCAACAGGGCGACTGGCGCCTGTTTGGGCGCCTCATGTCGGAGTCGGGGCAGAGCTCCATCGATCAGTATGAGTGCGGTCAGTGTGGGTGGGGTGCGGTGATGGTGGGTGGAGTGCAGCCAGTTGTGCTTCAGGGCGCTGAGGCACTGCAACAGGGCGACTGGCGCCTGTTTGGGCGCCTCATGTCGGAGTCGGGGCAGAGCTCCATCGATCAGTATGAGTGCGGTCAGTGTTGGTGGGGTGCGGTGATGGTGGGTGGAGTGCAGCTAGTTGTGCTTCAGGGCGCTGAGGCACTGCAACAGGGCGACTGGCGCCTGTTTGGGCGCCTCATGTCGGAGTCGGGGCAGAGCTCCATCGATCAGTATGAGTGCGGTCAGTGTGGGTGGGGTGCGGTGATGGTGGGTGGGGTGCAGTGCTAATGGGTGGGGTGCGGTGCTGGTGGGTGGGGTGCGGCCATTGTGTGTGGGTGGGGGTGCCACCGGATGAGTGACCACTCAGTGACCACTCAGTAACCACTCAGTGACCACTCAGTGACCACTCAGTGACCACTCAGTGACCACTCAGTGACCACTCAGTGACCACTCAGTGACCACTCAGTGACCACTCAGTGACCACTCAGTGACCACTCAGTGACCACTCAGTGACCACCCAGTGACCACTCGGTGAACACTCAGTGACCACTCGTGGGCATGACATCTAACTGTGTCTCCAATGAAGTCTGGCTCGGCTGGCTCTTTTGCTCTTCTCATCCTCCCTCCCTCCCTTCCTCCCACTTCCCCTCACTCTTCTCCTTCTCCCCTGTCCCCACCATCACAGGCAGCCCACCCCTCGTAGAGCTCCGGTCAATCCTCCCGGCCACACCGGGACTCTCCCCTCCCTTTTCCCTTCATCCCTTCCACCCCTCTCGCCTCTCCCTCTCCCCTCCCCCCACCACCACAGGCAGTCCACCCCTCATAGAGCTCCACTCAATCCTCCTGGCCACACCGGGGGTGCTCGGGGCCAGGTTCAGCGGTGCCAGCTTCAGGGGGTGCTGTGTGGCCACTTCCACTCTTCTTCCCTCCACACGCCCCTCTCATCTCCCTGCTTCTCTCTCTACCTTCCCTCCCTCACAGGTAGCCCACCCCTCATTGACCTCCGATCAATCCTCCTGGCCACACCGGGGGTGCTCGGGGCCAGGTTCAGCGGAGCGGGCTTCAGGGGGTGCTGTGTGGCGCTGGTGGCGCGAGAGAAGGTTGCTGACGTGGCGCGCCACGTGGCGGAATTGTATTCGCGGAGACAGCCTGAGCTGGCGACAGCTTGTCAGAAGGATGGCATGGTGGTGGTGTGTGATATATGCGATGGTGCTAGGATTCTTTGAACATGAGGTGAAAGAACCTGACACAGAGTGTTTCTGACAAGAGTGTTTCAAATCAGACACCCCGGCAGTGTGTCAGAAGGATAGTATGGTGGTGGTGTGTGATGTATGCGATGGTGCTTGAATTGTTTAGCCACGTGGTGAAAGAACCTGATGCAGGGTGTTCCAAAAGAAGCACACCTCTCTCTTGGGAGTAATGAAACTTTCCATAACAGTGTGTACACTTCAACTCATATGCTCTAGCCTATCTAACAGGTCGTATGTTTATGGTAAAGCCTGATACAAATCACATGCCCAGCTCCTTCTGAGAGAAAAACTCGTGACACAACAAATCTAAGAAGTTGCTACGTTGCGTTGCACTGCACTTTGCGCAGCGCAGCACTCAGTGAACTATTTGTGTCAGTATAAAAATGTACGATTGGAGTGTACGTGTGTGCACGCATTGAGTACACAATGCGCTCTGTGTGCTGTGTGCACTTAGTCCCTAGATATACCGTAACAAAAAGTGTTATATTGTGTAAAGCAACTCTGAACGACAAGCAGCGGGGCTCGGCTCTGACCCCGCCCCCCTCCGCTGCATGGCGCAGTTCCGCCCCCACACTACATGGCGCAGTTCCGCCCCCCCACTACATGGCGCAGTTCCGCCCCCCCACTGCATGGCGCAGCTCCCATTTGGGCCCAGCTCCGCCCTCTGAGCAGCTCCGCCATCACTGCATGGCGCAGCTGCACCCTCGGCGCAGCTCCGCCAGACCCGCCCTCAGAGCAGCTCCGCCCTCAGAGCAGCTCCGCCCTCAGAGCAGCTCCGCCCTCAGCGCAGCTCCGCTTCACTGCATGGCGCAGCTGCACACGTCATCATCGTCGTCCTCCATCTCCCACCACGCCAGGTCATCGGGATGTTTCGTCTCGCTGCACGCAAACAAGGTTGCAGGTGGGGGATGTGGAGGGGGGGGAGGTGGGGGGAAGAGGTGGTGGGGAGAGGTGGGGGGGGGAGGTGGGGTGGAGAGGTGGTGGGGAGAGGTGGGTGGGAGAGGTGGGGGGGAGAGGTGGGGGGGAGAGGTGGGGGGGAGAGGTGGTGGGGAGAGGTGGTGGGGAGAGGTGGTGGGGAGAGGTGGTGGGGAGAGGTGGAGGGGAGAGGTGGTGGGGAGAGGTGGTGGGGAGAGGTGGTGGGGAGAGGTGGTGGGGAGAGGTGGTGGAGAGAGGTGGTGGGGAGAGGTGGTGGGGAGAGGTGGTGGGGAGAGGTGGTGGGGAGAGGTGGTGGGGAGAGGTGGTGGGGATGAGAAGGATTAATTAGAATTCTCAAAAGTCGTCCTCCATCTCCCACCACGCCAGGTCATCCGGATGTTTCGTCTCGCTGTACGCATACGAGGTTGCAGGTGGGTGTGGGGAGGGGGGGAGTGGGGGGCGGGGAGGTGGGGGGAAGGGGAGGATAAGAATCTTGGGGAGTTACCAGAGTTACCCCACACACGGGCATATACGTTGGGAGTTACCACATATACAACACCACATATACCTTGGGAGATACCACACACCTTTTGAGTCAACTCAAAAGTAACCGAGTTATCACACACCTTGGCTCGTATTCTCGAATAGCCGTAAGCGACAAGCCCGCCTCGTCACCCCACCGCACTCGCCGAACCTTCCTCTCAGCCGTCCCATTCACGTGCAAGCACTCGATCGTGTGAGTCATGGACGGTTCTCGCTCCAGCATCGGCATCATCAGGGGATTTTTCAGGGGATTTGTCAGGGGGTTTGTAATCCAGACATGCGCGCCGGACTCGTCGCAGCGGCTTCCGTCGCTCGTGCGACACGTTTCGTCGCCGGAGCCGTCGCCGTCGTCGCCGTCGCGAAGGTGGGCGAGGGTGGCGGAACGGTGTTGAAGGAGTGACGGCAGGGCGAGAAAGGGTGGTAGAAGGCAGAGATTCGCCGCGTACATGGCCATGGCGGAAAAATGTGTATATGCGTCACGAAGATACTTCCTCGTCAAAAACTAACTCCTTATGGTGATCGAGATTGCTGAGATGTAACGAGTTCTGCAGGCGGTCAGGGATGTGCTGCTGGGATGATGAGCGCGAGAGAGGGGACGGAGCCTTTACAGTAAGAAACTAGTGGAGTGCGCGATTGGAAACTTTGGAAGGGTCGTTGGTGCGCGAAGGGCTAGTCCATAGTCGGGAAGCTCAATTTTGAGCTCGTAACGCTCTGTGTTATATCTCTGGTTGGCAACCGCTTGCGTCTGCTGAGAAATTCTTGGCACGTACACAGGCGGTAAAATGGCTGGCGCAATGATCCTGACACTGACTGAATGTGGTATGTATTCTGATTTTCGGCGCTGGCCTGCGTTGTTTTGCGCGTGACTCGTAATATTTCGGATGAAGATAGTCGACCGCTTTATCAGACTGCCTTGGTATCCTGACTTCTTGAAACGGTTTTATGACTGCTTTATCATTTGACTCGATAGTCAGATCGTCCTCCTGTGCCGCGGAACTGTAGCCAGCTGGCTGGTGCACAAGATGGTATGCGATGGGAGGAGGGGTTGTGGTGTGGTGCAGCGAAATTCGGCAAATTTCACACGAGGGGAGCGGCTCGGATAACATTGGGCATTCCGAAACTGGAAATGTCGACGCTGGCACAGAGGCGGTGCGGAGCCTCGCTGAAACTCGATTCTCGACATGAGCGCCAAGCACGGCGGACGTAATGCAAGCTTCCTCCTCAACTCACGTACGAGCCAAGCACCCTGCTTCGGCAGGGTTTGATCGGATTATGATTGGCTGGAGATGTGAAAGCATGTGGTTCGGAGCCTCGGTATGTTCAAGTGATGTTTGTGATGTGCTGCTGACGTGGTTGGGGGTCAGAGTGATTTCTCCGACGAGACTCGCGACGTGCGATGTCTGCGATCAGCGAGAAAGGCTTCCTGACAAGCCTCCTCGGGAGATACTGGCGTGCACGAATTTCGCCAACGAGTCAACGACAAACATCCACTGCTTCTCCAACAATGCCAACAATCGCCGTCAACAGTCGCCAACCAGTACGGTGCCGCCCCTTCAAAGTCACCACTACCACCCCTGGCTAGATGTTAACCATCCAACTTATATACAGTGTAGCAACATAGTACATGTTTTACGGTGACTGCTATTATCTCGTTTCTTCATTTACTACAAATCCACATTCACCCAAATTCGCGCCCATTTCTCGTCTTCTCCGCTTTCTACGCCATGTTTTGAAAAGTTCCTAGCCTGAGAGGCGTGAGCCGTCGAATATGCCCGCGCTCCCAAGATACCCGTCGTCTCAGATGAATTACCTCTCTGCCTGCGTTCTAGTGTTTCTGCCGCTAACTCTACTCGTCGTGACCCTCCCTCGAAGTGTATCATCTGCTCCCGCGTTCCGCAGCGGATGGGGCTCAGAATCTCTCTTCACCCAACACGGAATCTCGCGTCGCGGCGAGAACCGTACGATCAGAGAAGAGTCTTTAAGCGATTCCGTGCGAGGCCACCTGAAACCGCTTGAGTTTGCGTTTACAGGACGGCCCAGCGCGTCGAATTCGCGTTCGCAACGCGCTGCGAGCAAGAGGGACGGAGAGCCGGTGGGTTGGACTCGCGTCGCATCGCATCCAGCAAATCACGACCTCGTTCTTTTCAGTTTCATTTCCTTTTATGTTCTTTCTTTTTCTGCCGGTGGGTCCCGATATTTCTTCCTTACAGCCAGATTACTTCGAACGCTCCTACCCTGGCAGCTGGTTCACCTATGGAGCTATTTTCGACTCGCGCGTCGAAGCGTCCGACCTGCCGTCTTTAATCTCCTCGCGCACGCGCACTCACGCGCCGGCTTTCATAAGCGCGTACGCCGTCACGTCCCCTCGCCCGCTCGTCTTCTTCTCCATCCTCTGGCAACCCAACTCCAAATCCGTAAGCTCCTTCAATCTTTTCACATTACCTTTCCATGTATGTATGGCCCAAAAGCTCTTCTCCTTTCCTTTTGCATCTTGCCTTGCGGCCTCCTACGCCAACGCTTCTCCTCTGAACCTCTCTCCCCAACTTCCTACCTCTCTCTCCCCTTCTTGTCATCTCAGTTTGGCTGGGCGGTGCTGTTCAATCTCGACGGTCCAATGTTCCAAGATGCTCTCCACCGTCAGATCGCGTCGGGCTTTAAGCCTGTGCAGGTGCACTAAGGAAGGGGGTGCGTCACCCTTTATTGTAGTGCTACGTTGCAATTTGTAGTGCATTGTTCCGTATATAATCTCAGTGCTGGCGTCGTGTCATCGACACGTGCCGACCATCCGGCCCATCCCTGCCGCCCATCCCTGCCGCTCATCCTTGCCGCCCATCCCTGCCGCCCATCCTTGCCGCCCGGCAGGTGGAGAGCTACTACGTGTCGGACGAGGGCAGGCCGTACTACCACGAGATCTACTACACGGCCTTCTTCCTTGCTGACGTGGCGTGGCCAGCTGGCAGCGACACACTGGTGGAGACTGCATTCGGCATGCCACATGACAAGAGCTACTGCTGTGGGCCCGCCTCCCGATGGTGGCGGCTGCAGCGACATGTGTTGCTGGGTTGAGGTGTGAGGGGTATAGAGGGTAAGGTGTTCAACAAGGAGGGTAGAGAGGGTGTGGGATGCCGCACGGCGCGAGCTACTGCTGTGGGCCCGCCTCCCGATGGTGGCGGCTGCAGCGACAGGTGTGGCGGGCAGATGGGTTGACGAGGGTTTAGAGAGGGTTTGAATAGGGTTAAATAGAGGTTTTTTAGATGGACCTTACCTCACCCCATCTCACTTTACGGAGCGCTGGCAGTATTCCTTTCCCACTGCTCCCTTGTACTCTCCCTTCACCCCCCACAGGGTTTCAGCCCCCTCAGCATCTCTCACAGAGGACCCCATTGCTCTCACGGTCTATGTCCTTTGACTCGAGTCAACTCAGCTATTCTCCCTCAGATCCCCTCATTTCTTCGCATCTGCCCCACATCCCCCACAGGGTTTCAGCCCCCTCAGCATCTCCCCCACAGAGGACTCCATTGCTCTCACCGTCTATGTCCTTTGACTCGAGTCAACTCAGCTATTCTCCCTCAGATCCCCTCATCTCTTCGCATCTGCCCCACATCCCCCACAGGGTTTCAGCCCCCTCAGCATCTCCCTCACAGAGGACTCCATTGCTCTCACCGTCTATGTCCTTTGACTCGAGTCAACTCAGCTATTCTCCCTCAGATCCCCTCATCTCTTCGCATCTGCCCCACATCCCCCACAGGGTTTCAGCCCCCTCAGCATCTCCCTCACAGAGGACTCCATTGCTCTCACCGTCTATGTCCTTTGACTCGAGTCAACTCAGCTATTCTCCCTCAGCTCCCCTCATCTCTTCGCATCTGCCCCACATCCCCCACAGGGTTTCAGCCCCCTCAGCATCTCCCTCACAGAGGACCCCATTGCTCTCACAGTCTATGTGGCGGACGTGTGGAGCAACGCCCCCACCCCCGCTGGGTGAGTCTGACTTCTGAGGCGCCTCAAAAGCCATCTCCGTGACTTTTGCCTCGTGAGGCGTCTCAAAGGACAATACTACGCAGGAGCATGTCGTGTGTCAAAAGTTTTCATTTTTTCTCCCCCCTGAGTTCCTCTGTACTCCCAGCTGCCAACTGACTTGTCCAAACTTTTCCTCTTCCCCCTTTTCCCCTCCCCTTGTGTTCTTCACTCCCCAGTTGGCAAGCCGGGGTGGCGAGGACGGAGGAGCAGTTGCAACAGGAACTGATGCAGTTGCCGCCTCCCCTGGTTCCCACCTACCTCAAGGCGTACACTGTTGGGCTGAAGGTGAGGACGAGAGGATGAGGGGAGGAGAGGTACATTGCGGTATAATGCGGTACACTAAGGTACATCGCAGCACACTGCGGTACACTGCAGTACACTGCGGTACACTGTAGTACCCGATACCATATGATGAGTAACATTCTGCTCTAGCTCTACCTCACCTTCCCCCTTCAAGAAGGTCTTCTAAGCATATGTGGCCGACCTCCCTCCGCCCCCTCCGCTCCCCACCGCATCCTCACTCCCGACATTAGCCGCAGCGGCTTCGAGCTGCTCGCTCTCTCCCTCCGTCTATCAGGCACGCCCCTCCTCCCCTTCCCTCCTCCCCTCCCAAGCAAGTCGTCTAAGCATATGTGGCCGACCTCCCTCCGCCCCCATCGCTCCCCACCGCATCCTCACGCCCGGCATCAGCCGCAGCGGCTTTGAGCTTCTGGTGCTCTCCCTCGGTCAATCACACAGACCCCCCACCCACCCTTGCATAATCTTCCCTCCCCAAGCAGGTCTTCTATGCATACGTGGCCCGTCCGCCCTCCGTCTGCCCCCACCGCCCCCCACCGCATCCTCACAGCCGACATCAGCCGCAGCGGCTTTGAGCTGCTCGCTCTCTCCCTCAAACACCCCCCACTCCCCTCCCTTCCTCCCCTCCCGAGCAGGTCTTCTATGCGTACGTTGCCCGGCCCCCCACCTCCCCCACCGCCCCCCACCGCATCCTCACAGCCGATGTCAGCCGCAGCGGCTTTGAGCTGCTCGCTCTCTCCCTCAAGCACCCCCCTCTCCTTGTCGCTTCGTTCCTTCCCCCCAAGTTCGAGGGCCACGGGAAAAGTGCCAGGGAAAGGTACACTGTTGTGTGGCAGACTGATGGTGTTGGGGGGGGGGTTGGAGGAGAGGGGGGTTTAGGAGCGTGGGGGGTGGAGGGAGAGGAGGAGGTGGAAGGAAGGACAAAGCCAGACAGGAAGTTGGGTGAAAGTCGCAGAGCACAAGTATAGAGAGCATTACTGCACAAGTTGCAGAAGAATTCCTTGTAACATGTAACTGACCTTGTATATAATTCCTTGTATATTCTACTACCGTAGTTCAATATTGGATTATGTCAGACCTTAACTGAAGGCATGCAAGCACCTCCTCAACTTACGTACGAGCCGAGTACCCTAATTCGGCAGGGATATGTCGGACAATGATTGAATGAAGCTTTGAAAGCGGATGGTTTGGTGCCTTGGATATTCGAGGTGTTGCCTTTTTGTAATTCACCACTACCGCTTCTGGTTAAATCTCAGCCATCCAACTAATATACCGTGTAGCTCCCTATATCTGTCACGGTGTATGTTTGTATCGAGTATTTGCATTTTCTGCAAATTCACATCCATCCAAATATCGCCCCCATTTTTCACATTTCACATTCTCTCCACAGCTTCTCCGCCTTATTCCGAAAAGTTCCTAGCCTGAACGGCGTGAGCCGTCGATTGTGCCCGCGCTCCCGATACCCGTCTCAGATGAATTTACTCTCTGCCTGCGTTCTAGTATTTTTACCGCTAACACTGCTCGTCGCGGCCCTTCCTCGAAGTGTATCATCTGCCCCCGCGTTTCGCGGCGGATGGGGCGCAGAATCTCTTTTCACCCAACACGGAATCTCGCGTCGCGGCGAGAACAGTACAAGCAGAGAAGAGTCTATTCGCGGTTCCGCGCGAGGCCGCATGGAACCGCTTGAGTTCTCATTTACGAGAGACGCGCCGCGCCGAGAGAAGAAGGCAGCTCTCGTGCGACGCGGCAAGCTCGGCATGGAACCGCATAAGTTTTCGTTTACAGGAAGTCCCAGCGCGTCGAATTCGCGCTCGCAAAAAGCTACACAAGAAAGTGACGAAGCTCCGGTGGGTTGGACTCACGTCGCATCCAGGAAATCCCGTTCTCGTTCTTTTCATTTTTATAAAATATTTTGTTCTCTCTTTCTCCCATCGATGCGCCCCGGTATCTCTTCCCCACAGACAGATTATTTCGAGCGTTCATATCCTGGCGGCTGGTTCACGTATGGCGCTATCCTCGACTCGCGCGTCGAGGCGTCCGACCTGCCGGCTTTAATCTCCTCGCGAGAGTGCAACCACATGCCGGCCTTCATCACCGCATACGCCGTCGCGTCCCCTCGCCCGCTCGTTTACTTCTCCATCCTCTGGCAACCCAACTCCAAATCTGTGAGCTCCTTCAATCCTTTAACAGTAGCTTTCCATGTACGCTCTTCTCCTCCCGTTTTTATCTTCCTCGCAGCCTCCGTTGGCAACGTCTCTCACATTTCTCTCTCTCTCCCATTATCCCCTCCCTCTCCTTTTGCTCTCAACAGGTCGGCTGGGTGGTGGTGTTCAATCTCGACGGTCAAATGTTCCAAGATTCTCTGCACCGTCGGATCGCCTCGGGCTTTAAACCTGTACAGGTGCACAATGAGGGGGGGAGAGTTTCTTTGTCTTACACTAATAACTCGGCAGGATTTGTGTTTTAGTCTCGCTAGCACGCCGTCTCATCATCACCCTTGTTGCCACTGCCGCCCATCATTGACACCTGCCGTCCACTCCTGCTACCCACCCTGCCGCCCATCTCTGCCACCCATCCCTCCCTCCTATCCCTGCCGCCCACCCCTGCCGCCCATCCCTACCGCCCGGTATCAGGTGGAGAGCTACTACGTGTCGGACGACGTGAGGCCGTACTACCACGAGCTCTACTACTCTGCCATCTTCCTTGCTGACGTGGCGTGGCCAGCTGGCAGCTCCATGTGGGTGGAGGCGGCTTTTGGCATGCTACACGATGCGAGCTACTGCTGTGGACCCACATCCCGATGGTGGCGGCTGCAGCGACAGGTGCGGCTAGGCGTAGGGGGCAGAGGGGGTAAAGAGTGTAGGGAGGATATGGAGAGTAGTGAGGGTAGGGGGGCGGCGCACGACGCGAGCTACTGCTGTGGTCCCACCTCTCGGTGGTGGCGCCTGCAGCGACAGGTGGGGGAGGGGGGGTGGGGTGTGAGCGGCAGATAGGTAAAGGTATTTGGTCAACAGGAAGGGTAGAGAGGGCATGGAGAGCAGCTGCACTATACGAGCTACTGCTGTGGGCCCACGTCTCGGTGGTGGCGGCTGCAGGGACAGGTGGCGGAGGGAGATTGGGTGGGGAGTGCTTGCAGGGATAAGAGTGCTTACCTCACCTCTTCTCACCTTCCCTGCATCCCCCACAGGGCTTCAGCCCCCTCAGCGTCTCACAGAGGACCCGGCTGCTCTGACCGTCAATTCCCTTTGACTCGACTCAACACTTTCCCATCATCTCGCCTCATCTCCCCGCATCCTCCACTCACCCCCTACAGGGTTTCAGCCCCCTCAGCGTATCCCTAACAGAGGACCCGGCTGCTCTCACGGTCTATGTGGCGGACGTGTGGAGCAGCCCTCCCTCGTCTGGCGGGTGAGTGTGGCTGTCTGTCACTTCATTCGCAGTAAAATACAATCGGTTCTGTAACAGACGATTGGGCTGCTCTCACCGTCTATGTGGCGGACGTGTGGAGCAGCCCTCCCTCCTCTGGCGGGTGAGTGTGGCTCCTGATGTGCTTCAAAAGCCTTTTCTGTGATAGATCGCCTCCGTGCCCCCTGCTCTCACCGTCTATGTGGCGGACGTGTGGAGCAGCCCTCCCTCTACCGGCGGGTGAGTTAGTGTGACCCTTGAGGCTCTCCGGCTGTTATTAGCATGACACACGTTTTGGCTGCTCTCACGGTCTTGGTAGCTCCTCTGTGGAGCAGCCCTCCCTCCTCTGGCAGGTGAGTGTGGCTGTTACTGCTCTCACACTAAGATCCAATCTGTAACAGAGTGTAGCAGGCTCTAGTGCAGCTGCTTTTCTTGAGTCTACTCATAAGCACCTGGTGCTCTTGCCGCTCCACACCCCCTGTTTTCCTGTTTACTCCCAGGTGGCTGGGCGGAGTTGCAATGACATAAGCAGAGCTGCAGCAGTCTCAGACACAGCTGCCACCTTTCTAGAGTCTGCTCAAGAAAAAATATCTTGTCTTCTCGCCCCTCCATACCCCCTGTGTTCCTGTTTGCTCCCAGTTGGCTGGGCGCAGTTGCAATGACAGAGGCAGAGCTACAGCAGGCGCTGGCACAGCTGCCGCCCCCCCTGGTTCCCACCTTCCTCAAGGCGTACACGGTTGGCATGCAGGTGAGGATGAGAGGCACACTGAGGTGTAATGCGGTTGACTGCGGTACACGGTGGTACATGATTTATGCGGTAGGTGCTGAATGGCACTGGTGCAGCTGCCGCCCCCCCTGGTTCCCACCTTCCTCAAGGCGTACACTGTTGAGATGCAGGTGGGGCTGAGAGGCACACTGCGGTGCAATGCAGTTCACTGCGGTACACACTGGTATACGAGGAATGTGGTGGCTTTTTGGTTAGATGCCATGACAAGGGTGTTGTTGCCTCCCCTGGTTCCCACCTTCACGACCCTTAACAAACTTCACTCTTACAGCCCCTTGTCTTCTGAGTCGACTCAAAAGTCACCTAGTTCCCACCTTCACGACCCTTAACAAAGTTCACACTCTTACAGCCCCTTGTCTTCCCTCCCTGCCCCCCACCTCCCACATTCCTCCTCCTCCCCATTCCAGGTCTTCTATGCTTACGTGGCCCGCCCTCCCTCTGCCACCGTTCCCCACCGCACCCTCACTGCTGATATCAGCCGCAGCGGCTTTGAGCTGCTCGCTCGATCGCTCAGGCAACCCCCCCTGTTTGTCACCTCGTTTGTGCCGCCCAAGTGTGGGGAGCAGGGAAAGGGCGAGAGGGAGAGGTACACTGTTCTGTGGCAAGAGTGATGGACTTTTGAGAATTCTCAAGTGTGGGCAGCAGGGAAAAGGCGAGAGGGAGAGGTACACTGTTCTGTGGCAAGAGTGATAGACTTTTGAGAATTCTCAAGTGTGGGGAGCAGGGGAAAAGTGCAACGGAGAGATACACTGTTCTGTGGCTGACTGATGGGGCTGGGGAGGAGGCGGAGGGGCTGATGGACTGGTGGGGCTCGCACGCTCCCTTAGGCAACCCCCCCTGTTTCTCACCTCTTTCGTGCCCCCCAAGTGTGGGGAGCAGGGGAAAATTGCAACGGAAAGATACACTGTTTTGTGGCAGAATGACGGTTCTGGGGGTGAGGTTGGGGGAGAGGGGAGCACGGGAGGGTGGGTGGGCGGTGGAGGGAGAGGGGAAGGTGGAAGGAAGAACAATGCCAGACGGGAAGTTGGGCAAAAAAAACAGAACATGGGTATAACGATTGCGATTATTGGATAAGTTGAGAGGTGATGAAATGTTGTAGCATGTAAAATTCCTTGTAAATATATCCCTGTATATTTTACTAGCTCAATATGGGATTGGTTCCTTTGACTTGAAATGTAGAAGTGGGTATGCGAACGAATGACAGGAGCTCCAGCGCTTCACCGCGTTGGCAGTGACACGGATCGAGAATGCTATTGGCGAGGACAGTAAATTCCCCAATTTCACCTCGTCTCGAACCGAAATTTTCACACAAAAACACCTTGCCCCTTTCACATTCCACTTCACCCGCACCTCTCTCCCCCACATCCTCCGTCCGCCATTCTCCGTCGTTGTCCTTCGTTTCTTCCCTTCGCACTCCGTTTGTCGCGCTCCGGATCCGTACCTAGGATGGATTCCCGCGCGGCTAACATCCTCGCAGCGCTCTTGTCTCTAGCGCTCCTCGCGGCGTTCCTTCCTCGCCACGTGTCCTCATCCCCCATGTTCAGCGGCGGATTCGGCGCGGGGTTGGACCTCCGAGGCCCCGCCGCCGCCGCTAACGGTTATTTCCGTGACGAGAACCTTCCGCGAAGGAACGTAACCAGCGGTGGTGCCTTAACACCGAGTGTAACACCACTGGTAATTTCGTCGCATGGAAATAACAGCGCGCCGAGTCGTCTAAGAAGCCGGAAGTTCCGCACGAGTGGTCCCGCGGAACGCGCGCCGCCAGAAATCGTCGGAGCTGAGGTGTGATTTGCGCCCGCATTATGTGTGTGCCTCGTGTCGGATTTCGGTGACTTTAAAAAAATGCTTCGTGCTTCCCATCACCCTCCTTCCCCCCACTCCTCCCCCTCACAGCTCAACTACTTCGAGCGCAAGTACCCAGGGGGATGGCTGACTGCCGGACCGATCCTCGACTCACGAGTCGAGTCCTCTGACCTGCCGGCTCTTCTCTCCTCGCGCACGCGCTCCCACGTGCCTGCCTTCGTCAGCGCGTACGCCGTCGCGTCCCCTCGCCCACTCGTCTTCTTCTCCATCCTCTGGGAACCCAACTCCAAATCGGTGAGCTTGATAAACTCTCTCCGAAGCTGTTTGCACGCATGCTCTCCCATGCTCCCATGCGTTTCTGCGTTCCCACGTGCCGGCCTTCGTCAGCGCATACGCCGTCGCGTCCCCCCGCCCACTCGTCTTATTCTCCATCCTCTGGCAGCCCAACTCCAAATCCGTAAGCATTCGGCTCGTACAGTTTACCCTGCAAATCCATAAGCTCCTATCCTTGCATCACTTGCTCGCTAGACCCTTCCAGGATTGATGCGGCCGGATTTTTCCCAACTCCGTGAAATCAGGCATGGCATCTGGAAGCTCTGTGAATATCTACTGTGCCCCTTTTTCTCCTCCTCTCCCATCACCTCCTCTCCTCCTCTCCCTGCTCTTCCTCCTCCCCAACAGTTGGGGTGGGTGATGGTGTTCAACCTCAACGGCCAGCAGTTTCAGGATTCTCTGCACCATTACATCTCCTCGGGGTATAAGCCCTCTCAGGTGCGTATCTCTCTACCCCGCTCAGGTGCGTATGTCCATCTTACCCATCCATCTTACCTCGACGGCCAGCAGTATCAGGATGCCCTACACCATTACATGTCCTCGGGCCATAAGCCCTCTCAGGTGCGCTAGTCTTGCTTAGGTGGAATCCCTCTGCCACCCACCGCTCTGCTTGCCACACACCCCACCGCTCTGCTTGCCACACACCCCACCGCTCTGCTTGCCACACACCCCACCGCTCTGCTTGCCACACACCCCACCGCTCTGCTTTCTGCTCAGCTCACCGATCTGCTTTCTGCTCACCGCTCTGCTTGCTGCTCACCGCTGTGCTTGCTGCTCACCGCTCTGCTTGCTGCTCACCGCTCTGCTTGCTGCTCACCGCTGTGCTTGCTGCTCACCGCTCTGCTTTCTGCCCACCGCTCTGCTTTCTGCCCACCTCTCTGGCTGCTGCCCACCAATCTGCCGCCCGGTCCAGGTGGAGAGCTACTACGTGGCGGACCACCACGGGCTCTACTACGCCGCCATCTTCCTTGCTGACGTGGCGTGGCCAGCTGGCAGCGGCACACGGGTGGAGGCCGTGTTTGGCGTCCCCCACGACTCCGCATACTGCTGTGGTCCCTCCTCCCGATGGTTACAGCTGCAGCGACAGGTGTGATGGGGGGTAGGATGGGGGGGAAGGGAGCAGCATACGGTGGAGGCCATGCCTGGCGTCCCTCACAACGCCTCCTACTGCTGTGGACCCTCCTCCCGATGGCTGCAGTTATGGAGACAGGTGGAGGGAATGGGTGGGGGGTGCAGGAGGGATGGTGGAGGGGGTGGAGTGGATGTGGGGAGTGATGGGAAATGGGTGACGGTTCTGAGACGACGTTTCAAAACTCGATGGCTGCTTCTGAGAAAAAACTTCCCCTTCTCCCTTCCGCCTGCAGGGCTTCAACTGTTCGAGTGTATCTTTCACAGAGGACCCTTCGTCCCAAAGAGTGTTTGTGGTGGATGTGTGGAACGATGCTGCCATCCCTTGCCCGCCTCCCTCTCTTTCCCCTTCCCCCTTCCCCCCCCTCCCTGATCCAGGGCTACAGCCCTTTGAGTGTGGCGTTTACTGAAGACCCTTCCTCCCAGCGAGTCTTCGTACCGGATGTGTGGAATGATGCTCCCATCCCTCGCCCGCTTCCCTTTGTCCTTTCCAATCCTACAGGGCTACAGCCCTCTGAGTGTGGCATTTACTGAAGACCCTTCCTCCCAGCGAGTATTCGTGGCGGATGTGTGGAACGATGCGCCCAGCAGGGGCGGCTGGCAGGGCGGGGTGGCCAAGACTCCCCTCTCCTCCCCCCTCCTCTCCTCCCACATGCAGGCCTACACCCCGTTGAGTGTGCCGTTCACAGAGGACCCCTCGACTCAGAGAGTACACGTGGCGGATGTGTGGAACGATGCGCCCAGCAGAGGGGGTTGGCAGGGCGGGGTGGCCAAGACACTGGTCTCTCCGTTCCTCCCTTCCCTCCCTTCCACTGGCAGGGCTACACCCCTTTGAGTGTATCATTCACAGAAGACCCCTCCTCCCAGCGAGTCTACGTAGCAGACGTGTGGAACGACGCTCCCAACAGAGGGGGCTGGCAGGGCGGGGTGGCCAGAACACAGGCGCAGCTGCAGCAGGCTCTCACTCAGCTGCTGCCCCCCCTGGTTCCCACCTTCCTCAAGGCTTACACTGTTGGGTATCAGGTGAGGTTGAGGGGATGAGGTGGTGAGGAGGATGTGAGGAGGATGAGAGGATGTGTGGAACGATGCTGGCAGCAGGGGCGGCTGGCAGGGCGGGGTGGCCAAGACACAGGCGCAGCTGCAGCAGGCCCTCACTCAGCTGCTGCCTCCCCTCGTTCCCACCTTCCTCAAGGCGTACACTGTTGGGTATCAGGTCAGGATGGGCACTGCAGGGTAATGCGGTACACTACGGTACATGGTGGTACAGGTGTGAGTTGCTCTCAATAAGCTCCTGCCTCCCCTCGTTCCCACCTTCCTCAAGGCGTGCACCGTTGGGTATCAGGTCAGGATGGGCACTGCAGGGTAATGCGGTACACTGCGGTACATGGTGGTACAGGTGTGAGTTGCTCTGTCTCAGCTGCTGCCTCCCCTGGTTCCCACCTTCCTCAAGGCGTACACTGTTGGGTATCAGGTGAGGATGGGCACTGCAGGGTAATGCGGTACACTACGGTACATGGTGGTACAGGTGGTGAGTTGCTCTCACTCAGCTGCTGCCTCCCCTCGTTCCCACCTTCCTCAAGGCGTGCACCGTTGGGTATCAGGTGAGGATGAGCACTGCAGGGTAACTTGCTGTGCACTTCCGGTACATTGTGGTGGTGGTTCACGATACATGCAATAGTTAGTTTGTTGCCCTGTCTCAGCTCCTGCCTCCCCTCGTTCCCACCTTCCTCAAAGCGTACACCGTTGGATACCAGGTGAGGAAATGAGAGGATGAGGTGGTGAGCGGATCAGAAGATGCTTCCTCTCCTCCTCATTGCGAGCTGACGTCTTTCTGAATTTGTTTTAAACAGGTATGTACGCGTCAATCTCTTTCCCGCCTTAAAGGGTCTTCTGTCGCTCCACCCTCACCCTCGTCAACAGGTCTTCTATGCGTACATCGCCCGAGCTGCATCCTCCTCTCCTCCCCGTTCCACCCTCACAACGGACGTCAGCCGCAGCGCCTTTGAACTTCTAGCTCGCTCCCTGAAACAGCCGCCTCTCCTTGTGTCCTCGTACGGGCCGATGGATGGGGGTGCTGGTGAGAGCGATGCTCCTGGATCGGGCGAGAAGTATGCTGTGCTGTGGCAGACGGATGGGGTGGGGGCAGAGGCAGAGGCAGGGGCAGGGGCAGGGACAGGAGAGAATGTTAAGCTAGCTGACCAGTAGATCCAAGCAGCCGCCTCTCCTTGTGTCCTCGTATGGGCCGATGGATGGGGGGGCTGGGGAGAGCGATGCTCCTGGGACGGGGGAAAGGTATGCTTTGCTGTGGCAGACGGACAGGGTGGGGGCAGAGTCAAGGGTAGGGGAGAATGTCGGGCTAAGTTACCGGTAGAGTAAAGCAGCCGCCTCTGCTTGTGTCCTCTTGTGGGCCGGTGGATGGGGCCGCTCAGGAGAGTGGTGCTTCTGGGTCGTGTGAGAGGCATGCCGTGCTGTGGCAGACAGATGGGGTGGGGACAGGGATTAGGGTAGAGAAGAGCGATGTATAATGTATTATATGACTGGTTGTACTGAGCCTGGTAATTCTCGTATGGGCCTTCATATTCGGTAGGTAGGAGAGGGAGGTTCTTGAGCTGGGTTATGGGTATGTTGCCACGTGGGTATGAGTAGGGAAAGGCGAGGCTTGCAAGGATGCACTGGTTATGGTACGAACGGTAAATATATCGCTTGGCATTCGGATTACAGATTGAATTCGCATGCTTGTGACCATTCATGGTTTCTTTGAGAATTAGGATGCTAATGGTTCTGCTTTCAGTACAATGACCTGCTTCTACCGAGGATGCGGACGTTCAGGTGGTCTTGTAAGTTGGTGGGATTGCATTGCACAGTGCGGGCTGATCATGTACACCCTGTTTCGCGCCACACTGACATTCGCTGTATTGACATGCCGCTTATTCTGACATCAACGCGTCCAAAACGGTCCCAGAACATAGCATATAAGCACAATTCGCCGCAATCAACCGTACGCGATAGCATTGTTTCTTTCATAAACCGTTGTGTATCGTTCTCCTGGACCGCCACCTACCTGGGGTTCGGTTGTAAGCACCAGCCCGCAAAATCCAAGCACACGTTCGCACTGTAGCCGGGGCTCCCGATTGTCCGAACGTTGAGAAACATGGTGTAAACGCGGTTTCAGGCGCCCGACAAAACTGCGAGGCTTGTCGCCATCTGTCCATCTGCCCATCGGGTCAGTGGTGGGGGTGGGGTGAGGGGGGGGGGCACTGTTGAGGGGCGGGGGAGACGTGAAAGGGAGCGTGGCTGGGTCACTGCGATGCAGTGGTGAGGGTGTGTGTGATGAGATGAGAAAGGTGAAAAGAAATTCGTCTTGTCGATTCGTCGCTCGGCTGCCCGCCGATTCACGTTCACATTCCCAACACAAAAAGGACGACATGTTCCGCTGCCCGTGTTAGTCAAAACAGGGACCAGCGTGTTTTCACCAACTGCCCCAGTGTGCACTGTACCCTGAACAATGTCAACCTTTCGATTCGCATGAAATCGGGCAGCAGAAATCAAATGCAGCAATCCCGCGTCAAACTTCTGTGTTCGGGGTACAGTCCTGAACTGTTATGTACTCCATGTATCGTACAGAGTGAGAAAAAAATATGTGATACGCCAACTCTGGGAATCTCGTGGTGTTCCCAAGGAACTCCTTGCGAACTCCACCACTTTTGGTAATACTGTTCTCGAAGTTCTAAGTGACGACCAAACCGATTTGTGCAGGGGTGTGTGTGACTGGTGTTGCTGCAAGAGTTGGAGCAAGGTTGTGTTGTGATGTGAGCTATCCTCTCACCTGCATTTCGGCGAGAAACGGATTCTAAAAAGTCGGTAGACAAGATACCAATACCAAGACCGTCGTCGACTCTCGCGAACATAGTCCACGGTTGAATGTAAAAAGAGGATTGGATTACGTACGGATAGAGACATTTGGGATAACCCCAACGGTTATCAGCGTAGGGCCTCACTCACTGTGCTCGACTCATCACGCTCAGCGTTGTCCCTAGATTCGGCGTGGAGTTTTTTTCAGAAATACACCATGCGGAAACCTTGTATTTGCAAAGCGGCGACATAGAATCGTCTCACGCTAGCCCTATCACGTTCTTAACTCTCCCGCGAGTTTCTCGCGATTAGGGCATCGGTCACCACTCCGACCCGGTTTTACGGTGACATATTGAAACAAAAAAGGTGTAGCTCCGGAGTCGTCGGCCTCGGTATCGAGGCTCCGCGTAACTTTCGCGGACGACTACCGGGAGACGAAAATGTCGCCGCGCGATAGAATCGTCACGATGTGTCGTCCCGCTAGCAGTGTAAAGCACCGACATCTTAGCGAAACGTGTAGAGCCCAGAGACTAGACTCCTGGAGATTCGCGACTAGTCAAATGCTCCGACTCGCCGTCGTGACGTTCGTGCTGTTGTCGAGTTCACCCTTAACGCGCACGCAATCAGGTTCGTACTTTCTGCAGGTTTCGACCGTAAATGTCACATTCCGAAGCGGATAACGACTGAAGCAGTCTCCGTCTTCCTTTCAATGCGTTTCTCCCCTCTTCCGCTCATTCTCTCCACTTCGGTCGCTTTCACTTAACTGTCAACTTCGCACGCATGGTCTATGTACCGCTTGCTTCCCTTTACGTGTGTTCCCATTCTGCACGTCCTTCTGCCATGATTCTTTCCTCGGTCGTCTCTTTTCGCCGCCGTTTCGCCATTCCCTTCCCATCCACTGCGTCTACCGCCGTCTTTCTTTGCGCCGTGCGTTCCCCGTGTGTCCTTATCAGTCTGTAACCGGCAAGCCGTCGTGTACGTGACAGAGACCGGCACCGCTACCGGCTGCTGCGGAACCGCGCAGAGGCCGTGCGGTGAGTCGTGAGAGCAAGGCACGGCGGAAAGGGGAAAAACTGGGGAGGGGAGCGGATGGAGGAAGTATGAAGGGAAGGGGGAAGTGGGGAAGGGGGGAGGCAAGGGGGAATGGTGGAGGGGAATGGGGAAGGAACGGGAGGGGGAGTAGCGCAGAGGCCGTGCGGCGAGTCATGAGGGACGCTCTGGCGGAAGGGGGAAAAGGGGAGGCGAGGGGGTTGGAGAGGGGGAAAGGGTGGGAGGGAGGAGGGAGGGATGGAGGGGGAAGGGGTTGTAGCGCAGCGGCTGTCCGGTGAGTCGCGAGGTTCTTTACATCCCACCTTCGGGAGTGAGCAAGTGGCGTCGTCGCCCGTCTGCTAAGTCCACTCGAATGCGCTAGTCAACGCCTGCTCGTCCCGTGCTCGTCGTGTGCTCTTGCTTCCAGCCATATCCTGCTTTCTAACCGTCTCCCGCCCCTCCTCTCCCACACTCCCCCCTCTCTTCCCACCCCTCTCCTTTTTCCCCCCCTTCCCCATGCTCTTCTCCGCCTCCCCCCCCTCTCACCCCGCTTCCGCTCCTCTTCCCCCTTTCGCCCCCATTTCCCCCCTCTTTCCGCCTTCCCCCCTGTTTTTCCATGGGGCTATTTGGCCCGGTTCCGCCTCGCCTCGTCGGTCTTTTATTGCAGGCTCTCTCGACCTCGCCCTTACCAAGTGAGTGTCTTACCCTCCTTGATTTGACTCGATCTAATTTGCTCGCCGCTAGCAACCACTTGCTTTGCGCCGTGTTTATATGACTATACCTTTCCGCAGCTTGTAGCTCTCGTTTTGAGGCGCCTCAAAACGCAACCACTTGCTTTGCGCCGTGTTTATATGAGTATACCTTTCCGCAGCTTGTAGCTCTCCCCGCACCTCTCCTCCCCCTCCCCCGGGCCCCCCTGCCCGTTCCCCCCTCCCCCCTTTCCCCCCCGACCCACCCCACCCCACCCTCCTTCCCCTTCCCCCGACTCCCTCCCCACGCCCCCACTCCCTACCAGCGTAAATCTTAGCGGCATCCTCCCCATCTCCTTCTCCCCGTTCTTCCTTCCCCCGTCCCCCACTCCCCACTCGTCCCCCTTTCTCCCCACCCCAGCGCGAATCTCAAGGGAGCGACGATCCTATTGGTCAACGGCACCATCCCCGTCTCCTTCGCCGCACTCTCCGCGCCCCTCGCGCTCGGCGGCTACTCCCTCACCATAGCCGCAGGCTCGCTCTCCTCCCCCTCCCCCACGCCCCCCGGTAAAATCACATCCAAGCCTCTTATCAACTGCAAGAACGGGCCCTGCTTGAGCGCCGTTTGTGCCTCTAACGGAGGTGCTGCCGCTGGTGGTGCCGCTCCTGCTGTGCCGTGCGCGCAGGCGAGTGTGACTATACAGGGGGTCGCTGTGATGAGCGGGCTGAACAGGCAGGCCGGAGGGGGGTGCTTGGAAGCGGCGAACCAGAAGGTGACTCTAACGAGCGTGGATTTCGCGAGCTGCATCGCGTACCTCAACGGCGGCGCGGTCTCCATCTCGTCCTCCAAAGATGTGACTATGGCGGGCGTGACTGTGTTCGACTCAAAGGTCACCCAAGGAGGCATCGATGGTGGTGGTGGCGGCATTGCCATTTTCTGTGAGTCTCTCTCATACCCTCCCAATTGCCCTCCGTTTCCTCTCACTTCCCTTTTTTTTTTATCTTAGTTGAAAAAGGGCATCTATAGTGGTTGGTGGTGCCGGCATTGCCCCCTCCCTCCCTGCAACAGCCCATCCTGCAACCTCTAACCCTCCCCCTCCCTGCGACAACCTCCCCCCCCCCCCTCCCTGCGACAACCTCCCCCCCCCCCCTCCCTTCCCCCACCTCCACTCCGCAACCCCCCAGCGTCCAAGGCAACACTCTCGGGTCTGGACATTCAGTCATGCCACGCGAACGAGAGCATGGGGGGCGACATTGTCACCCATACCCCCTCCTGCAACTCCCTCACTCTCCCCCGCTCCCCCCTCCCCCATACCCCCCCCACACCCCCCCCACCACCCAGCGTCCAAGGCAACACTCTCGGGTCTTGACATTCAGTCATGCCACGCGGACGAGAGCGTGGGGGGCGGAATCGCCATCTACTCTACCACGCTCTCCCTCTCCTCCTCCTCCATCTCCGAATGCTCCTCTCGCTTCCTTGGCGGCGGAATCGCCTCCTCCTCCTCCACCGTCACACTCAAATCCGTCCAAATCACCAGCACCAATGGCAGCTCCGGGGGGTGCTTATCTGACGCCTCCTCTCCCTCTCTTTCTGTCCAATCCTCCACTTTCTTCGGGTGTTTCGCTGCATCGGCCCGCGATTATGCCCCTTATAGCGAAGACCCGTCGTATGGTGGCGGGTTTTTCCTTAAAGCTCGCGTCTCAGATTTCCAACCTTTTAACACTTGGTTGGGTTTTCCCGTCTGTGATTGGGTAACGAATGACGACTTATTTGACGAGTGGGTGAAAAAAACACAGCGAACTCCCAAACAGTCGAGGCCAAAACAAACCAGGGTGGGTTGGTTTCGGTGGAAAACGAGCCAAGGGGGACAGGTTTGGTCCCGGGTTCTGTCAACGTTGAGTTCAGAGTCTCATATTTTCGAGAGTTGTTAACACTTGGTGTGCACGGGGAAGTGTGCGACAGCCAACTTTCCCAACCCACCCCTTGCTTTGGTGTGCTTTGCGACAAACTCTGCTGTTACCGGATTCCAACCGTTTAACACTTGGTTGGATGGCAGAAATATGAGACGCGAGCTTTAACGGGACAGTCTCTACAGTGGTTCTAGACTCTACTATTGACTCTACCACGTCTGTCTATGGCGGAGGAGGGATCTACGCCATGGGCACGAGCTCGATCTCGATCCAACGGTCCACAATCACCCGCTGCACGAATTACATGGAGAGCGGGACGGGGATTGGTGTGGATTGCTGGAGCCTGGAAACTACTGGAAGCATGGAGTTAATCGATAGTAATATCCTGGATAATACGGGGTATGCCACAGTTAACCTGGGCGTCGGGGTGTATTTATCGGACGTTAATGCGGTGGTGCGCGGTTGCAATATCTCGGGGAACAACGGGCTGATGACGGAGGGGCTTAAAGCCCAGGGAGGTGGCATCAGCACGAACGTGTATAACAAGGCGGACGTGACGTTTGAGCTCTCCAACTCCACCGTCAGCAACAACTGGGTGAGTGCAGTGCGGTGAGGTGCGGTCCAGTGCGGTGCAGTGCGGTGTGGTGCGGTGCGGTGTGGTGGGGTGTGATGGTAACTACAGCTTGGATGGTGTTAGTGGTGATGACGGAGGGGCTTAAAGCCCAGGGAGGGGGCATCAGCACGAACGTGTATAACAAGCTGGACGTGACGTTTGAGCTGTCCAACTCCACCGTCAGCAACAACTGGGTGAGTGCAGTGCGGCGAGGTGCGGTACAGTGCGGTGTGGTGCGGTGCAGTGTGGTGGGGTGTGATGGTAACTGCAGCTTGGATGGTGTTGGTGATGACGGAGGGCCTTAAAGCCCAGGGAGGCGGTATCAGCACGAACGTGTACGTCAAGACGGTCGTGACGTTTGAGCTCTCCAACTCCACCGTCAGCAATGATGGTTATGGTGTGGTGATTGCGGCGGTGGCGTTTGTGCCCCCTCTGCCTTTTCCTCACCCCCCCACTTGCCTTTCCCCTTTCCCCCCCTTTCCCCTCCTCTCTTCGGATCCCCAGGCGTACATGGGCGGGGGGCTCTACATCGCATCGCCTGCAGCCACCATCACCAACGTCACCTTTGGCTACAACTATGCCGTTGCTTCAGGAGGCGGAGGTGAGTCTTCCTGCTCCAGACCACGAGTCGCTGAATAGACGAGAGGTCCCTGTTGTTGAGGTGTCGCACTCGGGAGCAGGGCCGGCAGTCACCAGCAGCACCATCGTCACCTTCGGTTACAACTATGCCATCGCTTTGGGAGGCGGAGGTGAGTCCCTCTGCTCCAAACCTGCAAGTCCTTGTCAAGGCTTGATTCCCCATTGAATCTTGAGGTCCCGCGAGTTCTCCTTGCAACCCATTTCAACCGCGTTCCGTCTCTCTGCACTCCCCCCCAAGCATGCAGTCCACTGGCTGGATGGAGGCAGGATGGCGAAGAGCAGAGTGGAGGGCAACGTGGGGGACACGGGGTGGGGGGGATGAGACCTGCTGCACTCCGCGCAACCCCTCTGAACCGCATTCCCTCTCTTTGCACTCCTCAACCCCCCTCCCTCCCCTGCGCAGTCTACTGGCTGGATGGCGGCAGCATGGCAAAGAGCAGAGTGGAGAGCAACGTGGGGGACATGGGAGGGGGCGGCATGGCAGTCAACACTATTAACCCCATCACTGTGGACGACTGTGACTTTGTTGCTAACGAGGCTACTACTGGGGAGGGCGGAGGCGTGCTTATAACGGAGGTGAGTGACCCGAGAATTATCTTGATCACTGGTCAATGCGGTCAATGCAGTCAACACAATCAACGCCATCACTGTGGACGACTGTGACTTGGTTGCTAACGAGGCTACCACTGGGAAGGGTGGAGGTGTGATTATAACGGAGGTAAGGCTGCTCGTTTTTTCATCGTTGTGAGAAAACCCGCTGTTTTTTTACAGCCATCTAAGCCCTCCACTGTACCCCTCTCCCTCACCCCTCCATCCCCACTCTCCCACTCTCCATCTCTTCCCCCCTCTGCCCTTCCTGTTCCCTTCTCTGTCCCTCCTCCCCCTCAGGGCGAAGCCACAGACGTGACAATCAGCAACAGCCGCTTCTCTCAGAACAGTGCGCTGGCAGCGCAAAAAGGGGCCCGGCATTTTCTAGTCTACTAAAAACCCCTTCCTGTTCCCTTCCCCTCTCTGCCCCTCTCTCGCCTCTGCCCCTCCCTCCCCTCAGGGGCAAGAGACCGACGTGACAATCAGCAACAGCAGGTTCTCTCAGAACAAGGCCATGGCAGCACGAGGAGGGGGGGTGTTCCACAGCGGGACCGCCCTCTCCCTCCTCTCCACCTCCTTCCAAAGCAACTCCGCTGCTAAGGGCGGCGCACTCGCCATCGTAGGCTCTATTCTCTCCTCCTCTCCCCCCCTCCTCGTGTTGACACAAACACCCTTCCTGTTCCCCTCTCTGCCCCTCCCTCCCCTCTCTGCCCTTCCCTCCCCTCAGGGGCAAGCCACAGACGTGACAATCAGCAACAGCAGGTTCTCTCAGAACAAGGCCATGGCAGCACGAGGAGGGGGGGTGTTCCACAGCGGGACCGCCCTCTCCCTCCTCTCCACCTCCTTCCAAAGCAACTCTGCTGCTAAGGGCGGCGCACTCGCCATTGTCGGTTCTGTCCTCTCCTCCTCCTCCTCTTCCTCTCCCTCCGCTCCCGCCGCTCCATCTGTCTCCACCGTCGCTACAGTCACCTCCTCCTCTTTCTCCCTCAATCATGCTGACCTGGCGGGCGGCGCGGTCTACGCCGCCATGACCGGCGACGCGCGAATCACCGACTGCCAGCTGTCGCAGAACGACGCGACGACAGGTGGCGGAGTGGCATTGGAGGAATACAGTGTGCTGAACATGCAGAGGAGCGTGTGTGATGGCAACAAGGCGATATCCGGGGGAGGGTGTTTGGCGCTGATTGACTCTACATCCGGCGTGATTGTAAAGGGGGAGATGAAGGGGAACGAGGGCGGGAGCGAGGGAGGGGGGGTTCGTGCGAGTGGTTCCGCGAAGTTGAGTGTATCAGGGGTGATTATAGAGGGGAACAGTGTGCAAGGGGGTGGGGGGTTTGTCTGGGCAGAAATGGACTCTCAGGTGAATGCAACGGGCACCACGTTCCGAAACAATTCTGCCCGGTTTTATGGCGGAGTGATCTACGCCGTCCATTCGGCCAGTGTTGCTCTCACGGGATCGGATCTAATCGCAAACAGCGCGGATCTGGGCGGCGCGGCGCTGATTGAAGGGCGGGCGGTTTTGTCCTCGTTCAACTCGTCGTTTTCCGAAAATGCCGCCCACGCAGTGGTGGTGCGAGGCCAGGCACAGGCAATCTTCATCAGTGGTAGCTTCAACAACAACACTGCTGCCAACATCCGTCCTCTTCCTCTTCCTCTTCCTCCTCCGCTTCTGCTGCGGCAGTTGCAGATTCCCCTACAGCCATTCCCACTGCCACTGCCACCGCCACTGCTGCTGGGTTTTCCGACTTGGCCTATCCCTTCTCGCCTTCTATCCGCATGGCTGCTGCCTTTGCGGCTGCTGTCACCTCCTCCATTGAATCTGCTAGCCTGACCACCAAAGGCCTCACTGCTAGGATCCTTGCTGCTGCTTCTCCTTCTGCTCCTGCTGCTGCCGGTGTAGCTGGGAATGTTACCACCGGCCAAGGCGGTAACAGCACGGCAGCTGGAGCAATAGCAGCAGGAGGGGCAGCAACTGGAGTGGCGAGCCCTATGGGCGACGGTGGGGCGCTCCACGTCACCGACTCCGCCATCCTCGTTGTAAACAGCTCCACTCTAGCCGGCAACACCGGGAGCAGCGGCGGCGCGATCTTCTCCGACTCCCTCGCGACCGTCACGATCAACGGCTGCGATTTCACCTCAAACGCTGCCAGCAAGGGAGCGGGAGCCCTAGCCACAGGCAACTCGTCCCTCTCCGTCTTCCTCTCTAACTTCACCTCGAATGCAGCGTCGTTTGGCGGAGGCGGGCTGTTTTACGAGGGAAACTCGCAGGGAAGCATCCTGAACTGCTCGTTTGTGGGGAACGATGCCAAGAAGGGCGGTGCGGCTGTGTATGTGGATCGGGAGCTTCTCCGAAAAAAACCTCTCGGGGAGATGACTGACAGCAGCAGTGGTAACAGCACCGGTGACAGCAGCAGTGGTAACAGCACAGGTGACAGCAGCAGTGGCAGTGGCAGCGGGTCATCAGTGCCCTCTCTCCCGCCGGCTGTAGCACTGAGCAACAAGCTGACGTGCACGAATGTGGTGTTTGAAGGCAACGCGGCTGTGCCCAGCCAGGGCGTGGCGTTCTTTGACACGTCCTTCTGGCCGGGCGTGCGCATCACGTGTGCTGACGCTGATAGTAGCAACCGGGACACCATCGGCACTCCTCCAACGTCCTTCTCGCTCATGTATGTGCCCTGGTTGGGCTCGCTGATTCCATGTGTGTGTGTTCATGTGTATGTGCATGTGCATGTGACTGAGCGTGAGCCGGCTCAAAAGGCATATGCGTGTCCGGTTTCCCCTCTCCTCCCTTCCATTCCCCTGCCTTCCCTGCTCCTCCTCCCCCCCACACTACCACACCCGCAGGTGGGAGACTCTGTCCCGTTCACAGGTGGGAGAAGAATGTGATGGAAGGGGGCAACAGCACAGACACCTCGCAGCCATTCACAGTGATGGGCGACACGCAGACGCCCATCGCCAACATCACCGTCACCATTCTAGACGCCTACGGCAACGTCGCCACCGACGACTTCTCCTCCATAATCGCCATCCAGCCCAACCCTCGCATCTCTCACCCATCGCCTCCCTTTCTTCCTTCCCTTCCCTCCCTTCCCTGCCTTCCCTGCCTTCCCTGTCTTCCCCCTCCCTGCCCCCCCTCCACCCCCCCCACATGACCCCACCCACAGGTGGGAGAAAAATGTGCTGGAAGGGGGAAACGGCAGCGATGCCTCTGTCCCGTTCACAGTGATGGGCGACACGCAGACGCCCATCGCCAACATCACCGTCACCATCCTGGACGCCTACGGCAACGTTGCCACCGACGATTTCTCCTCCATCATCGCCATCCAGCCCGATCCTCGCATCTCCGGCCTCCTCCGCGCCACTGCTCTCCGCGGCCGGGCGGTCCTGCCGCCCGTTTCCCTCGTCCTGACGCCGGAAGACGCCGCGAATTTCACCCTCCCAATCACCGTCAGCAGCCCGACGGACGCGTATCCTCCAATCACCCGCGAGCTTGAATTCGGGTTGTGCGATCCGGGGAGTTATTTCTCCCTGGATGATCTGGCTTGCCTGCCTTGCGAGGTGGGGTTCATGTGCCCTGCGGGGCAAGGGTCAGTGATGTGCGAGGATGGGACGTTCAGCTTTCTTCCGGCTGCCAGCGAGTGCGTGACGTGTGCGGAGACAATCACTATTCATGGGGATAATGCTATGGATTGCACCAATGGCACCTGCACGATCGCTGGGGATTTCTGGCTGAACCCGAATAGCGTTTACACGGACAACCCCGCGGTATTCTACTGCGACGTGTCGAGTACGTGTCGCCTTTTTTTGCATCTATCTACCTTGTATCAAGATGTCGCTGACTTCCTTCCTCACTTTTGTGTCACGCAAATGAGTGAGGGGCCGCACTTAATCTTTCTCTCATTTGTGAAGCCCCTCACTCTCGCCCCTCTTTTCCACACCCCGCCGTTGTGAGCAATTTATGAGCGGCTTCCAGTCTGAATATGCCCACAACTCATTCTTCCTCCTCACATGTTCTCTCCCCCCCCCCTCCTCTGGCCCCCCCTCCTCTGCCCCCCCTCCTCTGGCCCCCCCTCCTCTACCCCCCCCTCCTCTAGCCCCCCCTCCTCTGCCTCCCCCTCCTCTGCCCCCCCCTCCTCTGCCCCCCCTCCTCTGCCGCCCCCTCTTTTCCGCCCCTTTGCCACTCCCTCCACTTCCATACCTCCCCTTCCACTGCCCTCCCCCCCCCCTCCCCCCCATCCCAGACGGCTGTGCGGGCTACGAGTATACATCCCTCAACGACTCGCAGTGTGCAGAGGGCTACAACCAGAACCGCCTCTGCTCCACCTGCTGCTCCCAGCCTCATGCCCTGTACTCCTTCTCCTCTTCTCCCCCACTCCCAACCCTTCCTTCCCCCACCAGACGGCTGTGCGGGCTACGAGTACACATCCCCCAACGACTCGCAGTGCGGGGAGGGGTACAACCAGAACCGCCTCTGCTCCATGTGCGCCCCTGGCTACTACTCGGTCATCGGCACGTGCTACCAGTGCACCTCCTGGATGGAAACGGTGAGTCAATGCGATTCCTTCTTGCTTTGCTCCCCTCCTCTGCTTCCCCTGCTCTTCTCCCCCTGCTCTTCTCTCCCTCTACTCCTCCCCCTGCGCCCCCGGCTACTACTCAGTCATTGGCACGTGCTATCAGTGCACCTCCTGGATGGAAACAGTGAGTGCCTTGGGGGTTTAGACCCGTTCCCCGTTCCCTCTCCTCTGCTCCCCCTGCTCTGCTCCCCCTGCTCTGCTCCCCCTGCTCTGCTCCCTCTACTCCTCCCCTTCCGCCCCCGGCCACTACTCAGTCATCGGCACGTGCTACCAGTGCACCTCGTGGATGGAGACGGTGAGTGTCTGGGGGGTTTAGACCCTTTCCCTGTTCCCTCTCCTCTGCTCCCTCTCCTCTGCTCCCCCTGCTCTTCTCTCCTTCTTCTGCTCCATGTGCGCCCCCGGCTACTACTCAGTCATCGGCACGTGCTACCAGTGCACCTCCTGGATGGAGACAGTGAGTGCTGTGCTGTTCTCTTCTGTCCCTTGTTTCTAGAGCTTTGTGCGTCGATAGTGCTGCCCTCTTCGCTCTGCTCGCCCCTGGCCACTACTCGGTCATTGGCACGTGCTACCAGTGCACATCCTGGATGGAGACGGTGAGTAGATGCCACTTGACCCTGCGCTTCTTCCCTTGTTCTGCTCCCCATCTTCCCTCGGCTACTACTCGGTCATCGGCACGTGCTACCAGTGCACCTCCTGGATGGAGACTGTGAGTACCCTACTCTGCTTCATGGTCCCTGTTTCCACTCTTCGATCTGAACTCCTTGCTGCCTGAGCTGGTGAGCCAAGACTGACTTCCAGCATCCATCCATTCTCAACCCTCCCTTCTCTCTAATCCCCGCCTGACCCTCTCTCCCCCTTTCCCTTTTCGTCCCTTCTGCAGCTCTTCTGGTTCTTCTTCGTGCTCGTGATCCTGCTGTGGGTGGCGACGGCTGTCTTTTCTGACCGCTTCCACTCGGTGTCAATGATGAACAGTGAGCTGCAGATCCTGGCAGTGCTGGGGTCCGTGGATCTGCAGTTCCCCGACTGGGCCCGGAAGGTGGTCGAGCTTTCAACTCTCAGCCTGTTCTCTGTTGTAAGTGTTGGTTACATGGGTGACTGAGCCCCCACTCACCCACTCACTCACTCTCACTCACTTTCTCACTCCCTGACTTACTCACTCACCACCGACGGAGCAGCACACATGAGATGAGCGCACTCTGTGGGGATGATGAACAGTGAGCTGCAGATTCTGGCAGTGCTGGGGTCCGTGGATCTCCAGTTCCCCGACTGGGCGAGAAAAGTTGTGGAGCTCTCAACTCTCAGCCTCTTCTCCGTGGTACGTAGTGGGAGGGTCACACTGAGAGGTGGGGTGTGGGTGATGAACAGTGAGCTGCAGATCCTGGCAGTGCTGGGGTCCGTGGATCTCCAGTTCCCCGACTGGGCCCGGAAGGTCGTGGAGCTTTCCACTCTCAGCCTCTTCTCCGTGGTAAGTACTGGGAGGGTCACGCAGAGAGGTGTGTGGCAGTGCTGGGGTCGGTGGATCTGCAGTTCCCAGATTGGGCCAGAAAGGTGGTCGAGCTCTCCACTCTCAGCCTCTTCTCTGTGGTACGTGCCTGGGTTCCTCAGCCCACACTCACTCACTCACTCACTCGCCTACCCACTCACGGGTGGTTGGTTCACCAAGAGAGCAGCACACAAGACATGGGAGAGGTGGGTGGGGGTGATGAGCAGTGAGCAGCAGATGTATGAAGAAGTGTTTTGAGACGTCTCAAAACACTTCTTCATACATGTGGGGGTGATGGACAGTGAGCTGCAGATCCTGGCAGAGCTCTCAAGATACATTCCACCTCTCTCCCCCACCCCCTCCCCACTCCCCTCCCCTCCCCTCCCCTCCCCTCTCAGGAAATTCTCGGCCCCGACTGCAAGGTGTCTTTCCCCTTCACGTCCCGCTGGGCGCTCACCATGATAGTCGCGGCCGTGGGTCTCGCAGCCTACGCGCTCCTCTTCGCCGTGCAAGGCACCCTCCGCCGCTTCTTCCCGCGCCCCACCCACTCCTCCCACTCGCACGGCCAAATGGGAAAAGGGGAGAAGGGTGGGGAGGTTGGAGAAGACAAGCCGTCGGCGAATCCGCCGGCCCCGCTGGAGGATATTTATATTCACGGGGCGGCCAACTGGCTGGACGTGTGCTACCTGCCCGTCACTGTGCGCTGCTTCCAGGTGAGTGTTTCCTTCAGGTGAGCCCTTCGTTACAGGTAAATCCTGCACTGCATGAGATTGGGGGGGACAAGCCGTCGGCGAACCCGCCTGCTCCTCTGGAGGATATTTACATTCACGGCGCGGCCAACTGGCTGGACGTGTGCTATCTGCCCGTCACCGTGCGCTGCTTCCAGGTAGGCCCTGCACTGGATGGCACCTCTCCATCCAGGTGAGCATCACCCAACGCCCCCTGCCCCTCGCTTTCTTCTCTCCTCCCCTTATCCCAAACCGACTCCCCCTCCTTTCCCAACCCCCACACTCCCTCGCCTCCCACTCCCAGGCCTTTTCCAAGAGCACGTACGACGAGACAGTGATGACCTTCTCCCCAACGGACCTGTGGAGCAGCAGTGCGCGCATCACGCTGTTTGCGATCGCCATCGCCGTCACCATCGTCTTTGTGGCGGGCGCGCCCATCTACTACGCGCTCACCATGCTCTACGGCAAGAAGCAGAAGCTGCTCGACACACGGGCGTTCCGCGCGCGATGGGGGTGGATGGTCACGCGATACGAGTACCGCTATTTCTACTGGCACCTCATGCTGTTCGCGAGGAGGATTCTGGTTGCAGCTCTCTTTGTGTTCCTCATTGACTCGCCCCCGGTTCAGGTATGCATGTGTGTCTCATAGAGGGAGCGGGGTGGGGTAGGGGTGGATGGTGACGCGATACGAGTACCGCTATTTCTACTGGCACCTCATGCTGTTCGCCCGGATGATTCTCATCGGCTCGCCCTCACCTTCTCCGCTCTCTGCCTCTGCCCCCCTTCTTCCTCCCAACCCCTCCCTCTTCTCCCCTTCTACCCCTTCTCCCTCCCATCCCTACCCCCCCCAGATGACTGTTCTCTTCCCCGTGCAAGTCATTCTCATCGGCCTCCAGCTCGCCGCCTCCCCATTCGTCGCATCCACCCACGACGCATTCGCAGCGATCCTAATCGTCGCCGAAATGATCTTCATCATCGCCACCATGGGGTACAACTTCGTGCAGCTCGAAACGCTCCCTAAGATCGGTTTCGCGCTGGTCATCGTCGCCTTCTGCGTCCCCACCCTCCTCGTCTTCTCCTACGAATCAGCCAATCATCTCCTAGTCTGGAAAGTACACGGCGCAGCAAAGAGCCTCTGGGCTCTGGACGACGAGGGGGAGGGTGGGGATGGAGCAGAGGGAGCAGGAGGGAAGCCAGGAGCAGGGGCGGCTAGCAACAAGCCGAAGCATGTGAGGGAGGGGGCGGTAGAGGTGTCGCCTAGTGATGTGCTGGACTGGTTCCGCCCGCACATTGCAGCTATCATCCTGCTCCCGGGCCGCGAGGAAGAGCGCAGGCTGCTTATGAAGGTTCGCCGAGCGTACGAGGCCTGCTGCTACCCCCTCATCTCCGCCGCTTCTGCCGCTGCAACCGATGCCCCTGCTGCTGCTGCTGCTGCTGCTGGTGCTGCCTCCTCCTCTTCCTCCCCATCCACTGCCCTGGTTCCCGCACCGGAATTCGGAGACACAGCGTGGATCAAGGACCTAAACAAGTCTCAGCGCTTTGCCGCTCTGCATCAGGTTGTGCTGGGCGCGGCCGTAGGGAGGCGCCCTGTTGCCCGCGTACCCTTTGATGCCCGCGATGTGCCGGCTATCTGGACTACGTCTGGCGGGGTTGTTATTGCTGGTATGGGTGCTGTTCCCACCACTGGTGGTGCCGGTGGCGGTGGGGTGGGAGGGCAGGAGAGCGATGGGAGGGATATTGCTGCTGGGGGAGGGCTGAGTTCGCGGTATGGGTATGGCAGCACGAGCTTTTATGGGGGTACGGGCGGCGGGCCGGGCGGCGCAAGCACCCGCGTGCATGACATCCTGGCGAACTCGCGGTTCATCAGCAAGGCGATGCGGGAAAACGCCAAAACAGACCGCCCGGCGCTGGTGCGCTCGAATAATATCTCGATCAAGAATCTCCGGCCGCCCAAGCCACCCCAGCCGCTGCCTCAGGACCTGTGGCCGCCGCCCCTGGAGGAGTGCGCCACGTGGGCGCACGTGATTGGCCGGCAGCAGGCGGCTCAGATGGAGCGAGACGCTGCAGTGGCAGAGGGGAGGGAGGAGGAGGAAGAGGAGGAAGACGAGGGAGCCAAGGAAGAAATGGCCGGGGCCCCTGCTGGGTACGCAAACGGCGGGTCTGAGAAACTGAACGGCGCTGCTGGCGGTGCTGCTGGTGGCGCTGCGAATGGAGGGGAGGCGAACGGAGAGGGCGAGGAGGATGAGGAGGACGAGGAGGAGGAAGAGGAGGAGGAGGAAGGGGAGTATCTGGAGGCGTGGTTAGATAGTATGGGTATCTCGCTGGCGTTCCAGCAGAGCTTCTCCCAGCTGACTCTGGTGGAGAAGAAGAGGAAGCCCCAGTCGCTGCGCCGTTTGTTGACATCTGTGAAGCTTCCAGACATCCTCGGCTGGCTCTCGTCCCCCCTGTGGTGAGTGCTTGCCTTCTTCCGCCCCTGTGGTGAGTGCTTGCCTTCTTCCGCCCCTGTGGTGAGTGCTTGCCTTCTTCCGCCCCTGTGGTGAGTGCTTGCCTTCTTCCGCCCCTGTGGTGAGTGCTTGCCTTCTTCCGCCCCTGTGGTGAGTGCTTGCCTTCTTCCGCCCCTGTGGTGAGTGCTTGCCTTCTTCCGCCCCTGTGGTGAGTGCTTGCCTTCTTCCGCCCCTGTGGTGAGTGCTTGCCTTCTTCCGCCCCTGTGGTGAGTGCTTGCCTTCTTCCGCCCCTGTGGTGAGTGCTTGCCTTCTTCCGCCCCTGTGGGGAGTGCTTGCCTTCTTCCGCCCCTGTGGTGAGTGCTTGCCTTCTTCCGCCCCTGTGGTGAGTGCTTGCCTTCTTCCGCCCCTGTGGTGAGTGCTTGCCTTCTTCCGCCCCTGTGGTGAGTGCTTGCCTTCTTCCGCCCCTGTGGTGAGTGCTTGCCTTCTTCCGCCCCTGTGGTGAGTGCTTGCCTTCTTCCGCCCCTGTGGTGAGTGCTTGCCTTCTTCCGCCCCTGTGGTGAGTGCTTGCCTTCTTCCGCCCCTGTGGTGAGTGCTTGCCTTCTTCCGCCCCTGTGGTGAGTGCTTGCCTTCTTCCGCCCCTGTGGTGAGTGCTTGCCTTCTTCCGCCCCTGTGGTGAGTGCTTGCCTTCTTCCGCCCCTGTGGTGAGTGCTTGCCTTCTTCCGCCCCTGTGGTGAGTGCTTGCCTTCTTCCGCCCCTGTGGTGAGTGCTTGCCTTCTTCCGCCCCTGTGGTGAGTGCTTGCCTTCTTCCGCCCCTGTGGTGAGTGCTTGCCTTCTTCCGCCCCTGTGGTGAGTGCTTGCCTTCTTCCGCCCCTGTGGTGAGTGCTTGCCTTCTTCCGCCCCTGTGGTGAGTGCTTGCCTTGGCCGGGAGAGCCCTGTTCCTCCCTGTCTTCATCCCGCTGTTTGTACCCTCTTTCACCACAGCATTTTTGTTGCCTCTCTCCCTCAGTATCCATCCCTTCTCTCCATCCATCCTTTCTCTCCCTTTGTCGTTCCTCTTTCCTCTCCTCCCCCCCTCCCCCTTCTTGCCCCTATCCGCAGCACCACTGCCGACCGAGCCCTGTTTGTTCGTCTGCTAGCGGCTGTGGGGGCGGCGACAGTGGAGGATGCGGGCGGCCCGCGTTGGAGCAAGTGTCTCGTGGTGGCGTTTCAGGGCAAGGCCAACACCACACGCAAAGTGGCAGCAGCAAGGTGAGGGCAATGGGAGAAGGTTAGTGCGATGTGACAAGGTGAGGGCGGCGATGTGAGAAGCGGTGGCTGGACAGTTAGACCCACGCAAGGCAGTGAGTGTCTCGTGGTGGCATTTCAGGGCAAGGCCAACACCACATGCAAAGTGGCAGCCGCAAGGTGAGGGCGATGGGAGGAGGTGAGGGCGGCTATGTGAGAAGCGGTAGCTGGACGGTTAGACCCACACAAGGCAGCAAGTGTGTAGTGGTGGCGTTTCAGGGCAAGGCCAACACCACCCGCAAAGTTGCGGCAGCAAGGTGAGGGCGATGGGAGGAAGGTGGGAGGGCGATGTGAGAAGCGCCATAGGGGTGTGGCAGGACAGGCAGACCCAGACAAGGCAGTGAGTGTGCCCGGTTGTGGCATTTCAGGGCAAGGCCAACACCACTCGCAAGGTGGCAGCAGCAAGGTGAGGGCGATGGGAGGAAGGTGGGAGGGCGATGTGAGAAGCGCCATAGGGGTGTGGCAGGACAGGCAGACCCAGACAAGGCAGTGAGTGTGCCCGGTTGTGGCGTTTCAGGGCAAGGCCAACACCACACGCAAAGTGGCAGCAGCAAGGTGAGAGCGATGGGAGGAAGGTGGGAGGGCGATGGGAGGAAGGTGAGGGCGATGGGAGGAAGGTGGGAGAGCAATGTGAGAAGCGTCATAGGGGTGTGGCAGGACAGGCAGACCCAGCCAAGGCAGTGAGTGTCTCGTTGTGGCGTTTCAGGGCAAGCCCAACACGACTCGCAGAGTGACAGCAGCAAGGTGAGGGCGATGTGAGAAGGTTAGTGCGATGTGACAAGGTTAGTGCGATGTGGCAAGGTGAGGGTGGCGATGTGAGAAGCGGTGGCAGGACAGGCAGACCCAGCCAAGGCAGTGAGTGTGCCCGGGGTGGCGTTTCAGGGCAAGGCCAACACCACCCGCAAAGTGGCAGCAGCAAGGTGAGGGCGATGGGAGGGATGTGTGAGCAACGTGAGAAGCGCCATAGGAGTGTGGCAGGGCAAGCAGACCCAGACGAGGCAGTGAGTGTGCCGGGTAGTGGCGTTTCAGGGCAAGGCCAACACCACACGCAAAGTGGCAGCAGCAAGGTGAGGGCGATGCGAGAAGGTTAGTGCGATGGGACAAGGTGAGGCCGGCAATGTGAGAGAAGCGGTGGCTGGACAGTTAGACCCACACAAGGCAGTGAGTGTCTCGTGGTGACGTTGGATTATACCTGATCTGCCTTTCTGCTTGTGCGTGTCTCCCGTGTGTGCCTCTCCCTGTGTGCACCTCTCCCTGTGTGCACCTCTCCCTGTGTGCACCTCTCCCTGCATGTGCCTCTCCCTCTCTCCAATGCTGCAGCAAGGACTATCTAGCAGAGGCATCAGAGCACACACTGGCAGAGGCATCACAGGAGGTCTCAGGGCCTGAGTTTTGAGGCGCCTCAAAACTCACTCTCTCCCCATGTACCCCTCCCCTTCCCTCTCCCCTTCTCCATCGCTGCAGCAAGGACTATCTAGCAGAGGCATCGGAGCACACGCTGGCAGAGGCATCACAGGAGGACTCACCATATGGCTACGGTGTCTGAGGTGGGATTTGGGAGGCTACGGCGTCTGAGAGGCCTTCTAGCTGGTGCTACGGCGTCTGAGGGGCCTTCTAGCTGGTGCTACGGCGTCTGAGGGGCCTTCTAGCTGGTGCTACGGCGTCTGAGGGGCCTTCTAGCTGGTGCTACGGCGTCTGAGGGGCCTTTCAGCAGGTCATATGGCTTCTGAGGGCCCTGGGTGCTGTGCTGTGCTGTGTTGTGCTGTATGGCTTCAATGACTGACGGGGGGTTGGGGAGCTGGAATGTGTGAGTGGCTTTTCAAGTTCCACCTGGAGCTGTCTGTGGCGTCCGAAGGGCCGCGGCCGCTGCCGCTGGCTATACTGGAGCCAATCTTGAGAATTTTCAGCAGGGAGAGGGAGGTGCGGTGGCAGCATTATGCATCAGCATTGGGGGCGCAATCCTGAAAATAGTTGTTCGTTCTGAGATACCGTACCTTGGCAGAGGGATCAAGTTTTGAGGCGCCTCAAAACTCGTTCTGAGATACCTTGGGAGAGGGATCATGCAAAATGAACGTCAGTGCTGCCATGCTGTTTTGAAGAGGAAGTGTGGAGTGGACAGAGGTCCTTCCTTCCTTCCTGCACTCGCCATGTTGTTCGGGAATCGGAAGGATATGGGGAGCTGAAACACGTGTCTGCCTCTTTATTTATTTGTGAATTTTGAAACAAGTGTTTCTTAGTGGTAGATGGACATGTCATTGCCGTGCCATGCCATCCCTTGACCATGGTGTATGTTGTGTAGTGCTGTGTTTTTATAACTAAGGAGAAATTGCTAACTGTAAAGCTGTGGAATTGGAAATAAGTCCAGAGTATTCCTGATTTCATTTTCTTCAGAAGTCTCTAGACTAGAGTGTCTTCCTGTACATGAGGTGTCTACTGCTGCAGAGGTCATGTCAGAATCACACCAGTGGTGGTAGCGTACAGTATCATCACAGTACAGTAATGATTATAATAATATTCCTAAACTATCAAACTAAATGCCACATCCTGTACGTGCCACTTGTACAACATGATCCTTCTCAGTGCTCTGTACACCCAACCCAACATGAAGAACTACCCATCCACCACACCTGTACACCAAACCGGCTGGGTGAATCCTCAAAATGTAACTATGCCGTTCCCCGAATATACACGCCGGCATGTATTTCGCATGTGCTCGACTGTCGATGCATAGGCCATCCCATTAATTCAAAACCCTTGTTCCTCAGCACCATTCCTCCTTACCCTTGTAGGTGTGTTCTTATCCAGCTTCCCCATTCAGTATCTGGTACATGACCCCCTTCAGCAGCTGCCCACAGGATGACCACACAAATTCTCATTTCCGGGCAGAAACGACCACACGGGAAATCCCGAAAGCTGCTGTGGAACAGAGCCCTCCAGATCGTTACCCGCAACTCGGAGCACCTCAAGATTCGCACCACCATTAGAAGCATCTCCCAAACCTTCGGGAATGCTTCCCGTGAGCCGATTCCAGGCCAGATTGAGCGAGGTCAGGGCACGCAGCCCAGTCAGTTCTTCAGGTATGCTGCCCGAGAGAAGATTTCTAGGAAGGTTTAAGTAGCGGAGGTAGGAGAGGTCAGCAAGGGCTGCCGCTGGAAGTGTTCCACCGATGCGGTTATTAGCGAGGTCTAGTTTGATCAGAGAGGCACCGCAGGAGGATATGGAGGCTGGGATGGTGCCGGAAAGATGGTTTCCAGCAAGGTTGATCACTCGTGGGCATTCCACAAATTCAGGAAGGTGACCTGAAAGTTGCAAAAGAGGTAGGAGGGGCGTAATAAGACAGCACATAAATATCAATGGACGGTGTAGTTTTCATATCTCTATAATTTCTAGTAAACTTCTTCCAACTAAGATAAACCAGAACAAGCTTGAACAGATCACAGACAGCACTTGAGCAAATGCACTCACTGTTGATCTCGTTGTAGCTGATGTCGATGAAGCGTAAAGCGGAGTTTCCGAATGTGGGGTCGGGGATGTGGTCGACAATGTCATTGTCGTGCAGATTGAGGTGCGAAAGCTGAGCCAGCGATACCAGCCGCGACGGAATCGACCCGCGCAGTCGGTTGTGCGACGCATCCAGGGAAGCGAGGTTCGTCAGGGTGGTGAGCGGATCGAGTGTGCTGTTGATGTAGTTCGAACTGATGTTGATTCGCTTGAGAACCGTCGATCCGGTCAGAAAACTGGCGGGTATGCTCCCTGTCAGTCGGTTGTGCGAAAGGTCGAGATTCGCAACCCTCCCCAGATTCCGGAAGGGCACCAGGCTTCCACCAATGTAGTTGTAACTCAGATCCAGAACGACTCGCGGCGACTCGTGTCCATTGTCCTGGAAGTTGGAGCTTACTCCAGTCAATTTGTTGTGTGCGACGGAAAGTGAGCGAAGCCAGCGAAGGTGACTGAAATACCCAGGAAGCGAACCGCTCAGCTGGTTCCGTCCGAGATTCAGGAACTGGAGGGCCGTCAAATTGCCCAACTGTGACGGAATGTTACCATAAAACTTGTTTTCGCTCATATCGAGATGGGTGAGCCCCGTGGCAACGCCAACTGCAGCAGGCAGGTTTCCATCAAAACGATTCTTCGCGAGGTCAAGATGCTCGAGGGTGTCTATTTGGTAACCCGACTTCGCGCTCGGAATTGTCCCATTGAACGAGTTGCGACGAAGATTCAACCTCCGCAGATTAGGCATGCGGAAAATCGCAGGGTGGACACCACCAGACAAGTAGTTATAACTCAGGCTCAGGTGCTCCAAGTACAATAGCTGGTTCAATTGAGAGGGAAGCTTTCCTGTCAGCCTATTTCCCTCCAAGTGCAGCCTTTCCAGCCGCCACGCCTTGGATATTTCTGTCGGAACACTTCCACCAAGCTTGTTCCAGCTCAGACTAAGATAGGTGAGCCGGTTTAGGTTACTCAGCTGCTTCGGTATGTTGCCGTTGAGATTGTTGAAGCTTAAATCCAGCCTCTCCAGGCGCGTCGCACGAGAAAGCGCTGACGGGATTGGATTGTACAGCCGGTTGTATGACAGGTCCAAGTGCCTTAGCGACGCTGAAAACGCCGTCGAACTAGTCGGAAGAGCACCGTACAAATCCGCCCCGCGAAAATCCATCACTGAGAGAAACCCCAGCCCAAGAATCGATGCAGGAATGGCTCCATAGAGTTGCCGATTACCGCTCATGTTCACCATCCGCAGATTCGTCAGCAGCCCGAGAACCGTTGGCAGGGACCCGCCCAGGTCGTTGCACGAAAAGTCGACATGAGTGAGATGCGTGAGACTCCTGATGTCGGTCGAAATGGAGCCGGTGAGGAGTGTCGGGTAGGCGGTGCACGGGGAGAAGTTGAGCGACGTGACGAACTCGTTGGCGTCGCAGCCGATGCCGGCCACGCTGCATGCGCTCGCGGGAGCGCCCGGGACTGGGTTGGTGACCCCCGCCGCTGTGAGGAACTTGCGCACGGCGTCGACCTCGCCGGTTGCTTGGGGGAGAACCTTGGCCGCCGTGACTTGCGGAAGGGTGGCGCCGGCTTGCGGAAGGGTGGTGGCAACTTGCGGAAGAACCTCGTTGGTGGCTTGAGGAACGAGGTGGCGTGCAGAGAGGGTGGTAGGAGGGAAGAGGAGAGACAAGAGGAGTAGGAGGAGGAGGCGCGTGCGGGGTGTGGAATACGACCAGAATGATTCAGAGACAGCCATGGTACTAAACAATGTCGGATAGTTTTGTTTCGCGCGTATCGTTGAGAAAGGGAAAGGTGCGTCAACGTAAGAGTATCCAGCCGAGCGGAGAACTATCTCGCACATAAAAAGGTGAAACCTCAACTCGATGTAGCTGATTTGCTTCAACTGCGTGTTGCTGGAATATCAAAGATTCAAGGTACGGAGCGAAACACGCTATCTTGCTGTTTTGCGGCGACGAGCCAAGAATTGGCTCAACCGCGGCCCATTCTCCTGGGCACATCTTTGGCGGCCCGAACCGCGCCAAAGACAGCATTGCGGCTGGAAGAATACGGAAATGGCAGGCGCCACGTCTATGATGTGGGAATCGCACTGCGTATTGGAGGTGGCGCCAACAAAGAATTCCAGCTATGACTCGCGGACTCGTGAACAAACTTTAGATGCGGGTGATTCATGTTTTGGGCAAGCAAGCAACAGACACTTGGCATTTCTAAACTCTATGGCAATCACAAAACCCCCCCAAGTCGATGGTGTCTTACAATAGAGCAAGCAAGGTTTCCAATACGGGCAGAACGTAGTGCATTCATCCCGCGTCAGGCGCGTGACGTGCTTGTGGGTCACATGCTCTTGTTCTGCCTGGCTGGGCTGAGTTCGGCTGTACGCTGAGTCATGCTGGTCCGGTTGCGTTCGCGCAGGGGCACTGGCTGGGTAAAACATCCCACCAAGGGAAATTGGGACCACAGCATCGCTGCGCTGCTGGACCCTCCATTAAAATAGGCCTCCGTTAAAAGCTAAAACATATTTGTCCCTCCGCGTTCATAAAATATTTGTCCATTTGCTTATACAACAAAAACAAATCTTCCGAAGACAACATAAGAAAAATAATCATTCACGCTTATGAGACAGTTTGTCTATAAGCTGCAATACCCAGTTGAGGAAATCATGCAATAGATGGTAAACTTCATTGACATGGGGTGGAACATGTTAGAGTAAGGAACTTGGATAGGATAGGAATGCCTTAGAGAGTTTTGGTAGCGGAAGTCTTTGTGGTAGGAACTCTGATCATAGTGGATGTAAATGACAAAGTTGATTAAAGCATGAAATTACACACAATAAATAGATCTAAGGGTACATTCCGCTGTGGACACATGTCCCAATCGATGTGTCCCAATCGAGTGTACCGCTCCGAACCGAACTAAACCAGAGACGCGAAAATTTCGAAACTAGGGTGCAATTTGGTGTAATACGATGCAGTGCGGTAGGAACGATTGGGACACATCGATTGGGACATGTGTCCACAGCGGAATGTACCCTAACGAGCCATGTACTAT